ATTATTTGAATAAGAAATATGGTAGCAGGGTGTAGGTGGAAACGGGGTTTATATAAATCGCAAAAAAGCCTCGATAAATTCCTTTGCGTATGTATCATAATTTAACTGTAATCGTGTAAAAATTAACTTTCATACGTGTGCATTTTTCAATAAAACACAGTATAATCAAGAGATTTACCGTAAATCCTCTCGATCATTTCGATTTTTAATCCGGCAAAGGTCGAGGTTAATTCATCCGCGGACGGTTATTTAATTATTAAGCTCCGGCGTGGCTTCGGTATTGATTACAACTCACTACAATATGTTCTAACAATGTCGAATGTCAGCCTCTTAAAGTAATCAAATCTAATGTCCTTTTCACTTTCACGGTTGTTTTGCATACCAAATAAAGTACCGCTCGGCTCATGCCGGTGAAAGTTTGTTTATTCGAAGGGTACGAATTTGTTTAAGAAATTTTTTGTCTAAATAATTGTAGTGGCTCGATTAATTAGCAGTTTTCTATGTCGATAATACTTAAATTAAATACAGCAGTACATTCACGCTAATTTGTTGATGGCGTATAATGTCACGTTTATTTCTTCCTCCGTAAATGTTGCAGGTGAGAATAAGAAAAATAATTGTAACTTGCAAAAAAAGCCCTAAGGTAAAATTTATTGAGTCATTGCGTAATAATAAAGTCTCTAATTTAGCAGAAAATGAAAGCATCCGTTTATTACTCTATTAACTCCATTAAATTCGCTATACTCTGTTACTTAATAATTTCAGTTGCAATCAAGTTCAATTTTATCGAGAGGTATTTTGATTAAAGTCGAAGGAACTGCTTAATTTTCAGTTAATTATATGCATTAAGAAAATTAGTAAAATGTTAGCGTACCTATCTATAGATGCACAAACTCATTAACGGATTTTAGAAAGGTATTAAAACTTATTAAGAGTGAAAGAGTAATTTTTTGAAAAATAAATATAAATCTTTTGCTCCTGCAGAATCCAATCAAAGGTGTAATTAAGCTTAATTTGGTATCACAAATTAATTTATATTTTAATTAAGAATGAAAGGAAGTCGTTAATATGTACGTATGCACTAATATGAAATTAAAAATATCAGGACATATAAATCTTCTTTTAAGTGGAATACTGGAACAATTTTTCATATTACTTCATTAATTTTTCCCTAAAAATAATAAATTCCACACCTTAGGTTAACCTCTTATACGTTTGGAATACTGTAAAATATTAACCGTATAACCAACTGCAGCATTTCCAACCTCCACAAAAAAAATAATAAAAAATAATCTGAAATAATTTATAGTCACTCGGTATCCCCTGGATATTAAATTGATGATACGTGAAAGAAAGTGACCGAATAAAATTGTTCTCCAAACAAACACAGGATTGCTACAATAAAAGAATCCTTAATTCGCCGATTAACCACGCGAAAGCACGTATATGCCCACTAATTTGAAATAATATATCATGTTTGTCAGATTTATTACGGACTCCATTGAGAATTGATGCAATTTGCTTTATTTGCTATTTAAATTGATTTTTACTCTCTCTTTGAATCGTTCTAGGAGTGCCAAATGAAAAAAATCTTAATTTAGTATATGAGGAACAAATTATTGTTACGAAAAGAAAACTAATCGCCTTTGTGAAGCGGAGAATTTTTCTAAAATTGGTAGGTTGAAAGGGTTATTTTGTTATTTAAGGAGTGGAATCTAATACAACAGTAAAATGTATCAACTTCAAGCTGTATTATAAAGCTATTAAATCTACTTGGGTAACTATGCCGATCTAATTTTCAATAGGCTCTCGGAATTGTGTTGCGTCAAGAAAAAAGATCGATTCGAATATATTTAATAAATATCACGTTTTGAAAGCGGGCGAAGTAATAAGAATACTCATTGTTAACAATCACCATCTAGAATGACCTACTTGCGAAAAGAGTCGTGGACTGCGACGGCTTATGCAACGAGAATTTATAACATTGACCAAAAATAGCGAAAACTGGTTTGTTGCATTCGAATATGATGCCAAAATTTTTATTGCAATTATTCATGAGTTAGTTAAAATCATTTTTTTTTTCAATGACTCTGGTATTTGCTCAGTAAAGTGAATATATGTATACACTTGCCTGTAGAATTTCTGTGCAAGCGCCGTGCGAATTAGTTGTATTTGTATACAATAAATAGAATCGTTTTACAGATTTCGCGCGTTCTTTATGGAAAAGTCATCTAAATGAGACTCGAAGAGAAACCGAATGTCATAGAAAATGGCATTCATTCGCTTCGTTTACTCGGAAAAAATGTAAAAACTAGACAGCTTTCGAAGTCTGTTTTATGGCGGTTATTGGTTATTGGTTATTGGCAAAAACTAGTTTTAGTGAGATGAATAAAATTTACTTATCTAACTATTAATATAGATTGATTTTGATGAATGAGAATACATAATTAATGCGAGAAAGTCTGATTTACGAACAAAAAAAATAATAATTAAATCGAAATAGTAAAAAATGATACAAATCATCAGAACCAGATATACCTATACTTACTATATACCTACTACAAATTCCCACATTAATTTCAATATTTTATAATCTTATGCATCTAATCATAGGAGTGGAACAGCTCATAAAAACCTAATAATACGTAAAATAACATGTGAAATTTGACTGTGTTGAAATTGCAAGTCGAACATTTACATTCGTTTGAAATTTCAGAAATATCCTCAGAATGGTTATTTAGAACTCCGTTCGAAATTGCGTAATTTCTTAGGCGATTTACGAAATAACAGCCTTTGATATTATAAAGATAATCGTGAGAATAGTTCACATTAAACGAATTATTACTTTCCTTGCAGATTTACGTGCGCTATTAGTGTTTGCGGTCTACAATTTTTACTCCAACGGAATAATAAGTGAGAAACACAAAGGCGATCGTAATTTATAATTAACACATTCTTAAGCAGTACTCACAGTTGACCCATATTCCAATACTCTCGAGACCGGTCCTGCCTTTTTCTCAATCGATATTGTTTCAAGAGATCGAATCGCAAAACGAAAGTCGGAAGCAATATAGCAGAAAATTAGCGAATTTTTAGGCAATAAATACAAAGTGCATAAAACTGTTTGCGGTATAGACAACGGTTCGAAGAAAAAATTCGCTCTCAAGTAGAACGTGCAGCTGCTTGACATTATAGTAACGCTCGAAAGGAGAACATAAATACGCTATTTCCGAAACAAATTTACAATTGATATAAATTTACTTCTAATGATTGTTATTTTCGTATTAATGCCAAAATTGAATGTTTCATTTTTTTATGAAAACATATAATTTATTATTTTGTGGATGATTCATAAATAAAAGTAATAAAACGTATAGATCATAGTAAAATCAGTAAATGTTTCATCTCATTAGCAGACTGGTTTTTTATCCACCAAAACTAGAATTTTGCGGTAACAAATCAAACTAAAATCCATACAGCAGTAAATTACTTCTCAGCGACATTGTTTATTTAACAGATCGTTGGTGTTATCTTCTTTTGTTAGGGAAATCACAGCGCGATGTTGACAGTTATTTGTACCAGTTGCACGTCACACTGTGAACGGTCATTTAATTAATTTTATTGGAGCATATCGAGTAAAAATCAATTACATCTCCGAATGGTAACACATAAAAGCGAATTATAATTTATTCGTAACGTAACTATTGCTGCGCGGCTATAAATAATGCGCGAATTAGATCTGTTCGAATTTGAATTTGAAAGCAATTGAGCCGCGTAAAGGACTTTCAAATATTTACCAAATGATAAGTTTCCGCTGGAATCGTAAATTGTATTTAAGTAGGAGTCGAGAAAATTATCAGTGTCTGTTTACCTGCTATATTCATTATCATCAAAAGGTACATTAAAACATCATTGCTGGAGACAATTACTATAAATTTCCCACGAGTTTCTGATGAATACCCCCGGTATAGTGCTTTCACAAAACTTTAAATGCTTCTTTATGAATTAAGGTTTTAATATCACTAAAGTTTTCTTCTGTAATTAATTATAAGTAGGTGAATCCGATGTGTAAAGTAATAAAATCTTATATACCACATGTTTCTTAATTTAATATACGTGTTGTGTATAGGTATACCTATTACTGATGAAATTATTATTAGATAAACTATATTTTTTATTTACCTCTGTATTTTTAGTTTTTACCATATCCCAATTTAATGTATATAAGTAATTATAAGAATAATGATAATATATAGGTATATACAACTGTTTTAATTAGACATTTTTTATAATTAAATTAAAATATAATTAGCTGGAATTAACAAGGACAATTTAAAGTAGCTTCTTAATTACCTATCTCGAATTTTTTTTACATAACACATTACTTATCGCCTTCATTAAAAATGTGATATCATTGCAAAAGGAGATGGTGGTATTTTAAAAATTCTGATTTGATTATACGTTCGGTAGAAAAGATATAAACGATACCGCAGAACAGAAAATCAATATAAGCGCATCCACCAAAATTAAAAAACTAGATCGAATTTCAAAATGTGAAATAGAGAAACCTGAGAAATAGTTTAAAATTTTTTTCTTTATAAGGTTTCGCGGAAGTATGAAAGCCCTAAATAATTTGCTTCACATACGTTCAACGACCATTAATTAGAGAAGCCCTAGAATAACGACTTCCTTTGTGAAATAATGAAGTTTTTGTTTAAGGAATTTAACATAACATGGTGATAATTCAGAACAGTTGTTTTGCTCCACTTTTTGTATATATTTTCTTTCAAAGATTAGATAATATATGAATTATGATTATTTGATTTAAAAATTTTTTGATAATAAGTAGGTACCTAGTTTAATAACGCAGTTAACGCATGAATTTATAAATTTCATCCGTTATTTAGCGAAAAACTCATTTACAACCGTCGTTACCAAATAAAGGTCAAGTCAACAAATTTCTTCGGTCTCGCAATTTCACCGTTTGAAAATGCCTTTACCTCTGTTCAACTGGCGAATATCCACTCAAAGCAACTCCCAAAACACACCGAACAAAAAATCTCCCGGCTCACAAAACCGTCACACTAGTCAAAAAATAAAAAACATCCACAATACTCGACGAATTTTCCACCGCAGCCGCGATTCGCGGTATTGGAAAATGGGAATGTGTTAATGGTCTAACAGTACCTCGCGGTGCGCGTAAACATTCGCGATCGAATGCCGAGCGAAGAAAGAAGAAAGCCCTAGCGGGTTCGCGGTCACGTGAGCCTCCACTTCTTGCAGCGGCGCGACCAGCGAAAGAGTACGTCGACCGGACATCCTCTTATCGCTTCTTCATCGCTCGTCCTCTACTCGCCCGCTCGACCATTGTTCGAGATGCGTATTTCTACAATTGATCGCTATCTTCTGCGCTATCTCTACCTATGTAAAAATATTTGATACGAGTAACGATCGCACACTATCTGGCACGACAAGAATAGATAGTGCCTTACTATTAATATGAAGAATATTTAATTCTGTCTAACAAAACTTGAATTATTTTGATCGATTTAAACAGTAGTTCCCGTTTTAATATTATTAAAATAAAAAAATATATATTTCAAGCCCATATTTCCCCGAACTATAAACTTTATGTTAATTTCCTTGAGTTGACTGATTTAATCTACTCTTAAATTGAGCTCTTTTTACCTTTTTTTGTCACTGCGCACGTAACCTTCATAATTTCAGCTATTCCAAAAAGCGTCCAAAATGTTTTTATTGTTGACCCCATTTTATAGGCAACTCAGATTACACATTACCTTGTTAAACAAAATAAATTTTAAGTTGGCAACAAACAATGTGGCTACACGTCAACTTCACGAACGTCATTTCAAACGTCAAATATTTTTAACCAATTTTCTTTAATTAACAAAAAGGTAGTGGGTGCTGATCAGTTCGAGATTGTGTAACTTGAAGATCGAATTAAATTCTAAATTATTATACCCGGTTTCATTTAGGTACTTGAATAACCATATTTTCTGCATTTGAATCGGCCTTTGACCTAAATAGTTAGTATAGGAACAAAATGGCGCAATGTTGAAAGTGATAAGTCAACAACTACACTGCCTTTCGTAGTAGTACTTTATTTAGATTTATGAGTGTTAATACATAATGAAAGATATCTTCTTAGCCGCTTTCTCAGTTATCGCAAGTTTCCTTCTTGTTTTATTATTTGTTGTATTTGGTAATTTGTTCATTGGCAAGGCTCTATGCTAAGTAGTTTTACCTCTGTTTTGTTTTAGGATGGTTCATCGTGTGGAAGCTGATCTTGAGTAGGTTCCGTTTCATCAGAGAGCTCATCAAAGGCGCCAGCAATTCCACCATCGAAGAACTGAAAATCACCAGGAACAAATTGAAGAAGGTGCGCAGAGACTGACCGCTTCAAAATGAACATTCGTTGCGCCAAACCGGAGGATCTCATGAACATGCAGCACTGCAATTTACTCTGTTTACCCGAAAATTATCAAATGAAATATTATTTCTACCACGGCCTCAGTTGGCCTCAGCTTAGTTATGTGGCTGAAGACGAAAAAGGTACAATACTACCTCATAAAAAAAACCACTGTATAAAACTATTTTTTTTGTATGCTTTTAGGAAATATTGTAGGTTACGTCTTAGCTAAAATGGAGGAAGACCAAGAAGACCTGAAGCATGGGCACATAACTTCGCTGGCCGTAAAGAGGTCGCACCGCAGGCTGGGTCTAGCTCAAAAATTAATGGACCAAGCGTCTGAAGCCATGGTGGAGTGCTTCGATGCCAAATACGTGTCGTTACACGTGAGAAAGAGCAACCGAGCCGCTTTGAATTTGTACAAAAACGCTTTGAAATTCGAAACCGTCGAAATCGAACCGAAATATTACGCAGACGGCGAGGACGCTTACTCGATGCGTAGAGATCTATCCGAGTTCTCTAGAAAAGCCAAACCTAAGGCGGATAATAAGAATGATTAGCTTAATTATTTTTTAATTTTTTTGTATGATTGATTCGAAGTATACATATAATTAATGAAACATTACAGTTTGCTGTTTATTTATTCAAAAAATTAATTCTGCCATAATCTTAACACTTTATCTTTGCCACCGGAGGCGACTTTTAAACCATCGGTTGACCAATCGACGGCGTAAACCTCGTCAGCGTGGCCTGGAAGGTCAATTTCTAGTTTTTTGCTCGTTAGATTCCATAATTTAAGTGTAGAGTCGGCGCTACCGCTGACCATGAGTCTGGAATCCGCTGAAAACGAGACCATATAGACAGCCTGGACGTGCCCGCGTAATGTACAAATGAATTTTCCAGTTTTCGATTCCCATAGTTTGATTGATTTATCGAATGAAGCCGAAGCTAGAATTCTACCATCAGGGGAAAATTTCACATCATTCACTAATTGTTGGTGTCCTGTAAATATACAAATTTAGTAATGTAAAGTGTACATCAGATATCAGATATAGCATATGATCCTACCTGTTAGCCTAGCTAATGGCTTTTTATCTTTTTCTGGGTTCCATAAGAACAAGGTGAAATCATCAGATCCAGAAACTAATCGCTCCCCGTGGGCTTCAGTGATTTTGTAATACCGTTCTAATGCGAAATCTTGTGACTTCTTTTTATCGGGCATTAAAGTATCTTTATTCGAATCTTTCACCGGGTCGAATGCTCCTAAAATTATACTATTAAAAATCGAATAGTTATGAAATATTCTCATAGTACCTATCCTTAAAATGTAATCTGTACTTAAGGCTAGAGTGTTAACCCAATGGGCATGTCCCTCCAGTGATCGACATACCACTCCATCTTTAGCCCTCCAAACTTTTACACTTCTATCTTGCGATGCCGAGTAAATTAAACCATTTCCTCCCCATTTAACCACAGTGACACTTTTCGTGTGGCCGGTTAAACACATAATACTAGTGCACAGTGTTGTATCCCAAATTCGAATATCTCCATCTTTAGATGAACTCGCTAAAAATCTAACAACAATAAATTTTAGAATAATGATTAATAAAATAATTAATACATACCTGCATTCGGGGTTTTTGTGATAAGGCTCCCAACTTAAACTCGTAATCCACTGCTTGTGTCCTGTTAATGTTTTACCCATTTGTTTGCCAGTAAAAGGATCCCAAATATTTATTTTACCATCTTTGCAAGCAGAAGCAAGTTTGGAACTATCGGGTGACCATGCTATGCATAAAACCCAATTTTTGTGCCCTTCACAGGTGAACATAGGCGTTTGAGTGTCCACATCCCAGAATCTAACAGTAGTATCACCGGATCCACTAGCTAAATGCTTACCATCGGGACTAAAACTGACTGAAATAACGGCCTCTGCATGTCCCGGTATCGAACTCGTACATCTCGTTACGGGCCGTACTTTAAATACAGCCTGTTGCTGATAAATAATATCAAGAACTCCTTCAGTATTTAAATTCGATATATTTAGCGCTTTCTCGAGTGTGTGCGTTATTTCAGTGTCGTTAACATAAAATAAAAACGGCAAGGGCTCTTCTTGTTGCAGAAGGGAATTGCAAATCAGAGTAAGCTGCTGCAAGGAACAGTCTATCGGTAGATCCATCATGTCTCCAGCTACCTCTCCATTTTCTGATTTAAAGCAGCACAAAAGCCGCTTCGTTTCCGTTTCCATTTTAAATTAGTTGTTATTTTACGAAAACATCAAATATAACCTAAAAATGATCACAACACATGTGCTTGACAGACCGTATAATGGTCTCATCTATGATAGTATCCAGTCACAAGTTTGAACCAACTTCATGATATACATTTTCTACAAAAAAAAAGAAGAAAATACAATAGAATATAACCTCAAATCCAACGAATTTGATCGTATACTATTTATTTCGTAGAAAAACATCATTAATTAACAAATTATGGAAGAACCGGAGCCTACTAAACGCCAGAAGATGCCCAAAGTGGCTAAAGTGAGTTATATTGTGCATATTTTGTTCGCTTCATTAATACGAATTGTATTACAGGTGAAAAACAAAGCCCCAGCTGAAATCCAGATCACAGCCGAACAGCTATTGAGAGAGGCGAAAGAAAGAGACTTGGAAATCCTCCCGCCGCCGCCGAAGCAGAAAATTTCTGATCCGGCGGAGTTGGCCGACTATCAATTGAGGCGCAGAAAACAGTTCGAAGATAACATCAGAAAAAATAGGACGGTCATTTCGAACTGGATCAAATATGCCCAATGGGAGGAATCGCAGAAGGAAATACAAAGGTGCAGGTCGATATGGGAAAGAGCTCTCGATGTGGACCACAGAAACATTACCATTTGGTTGAAATACACGGAAATGGAAATGCGGAACAGACAAGTAAATATATTCTAGAGTATATCGAATAATCTTGAGACAATGTAATTTAATTATAGGTAAATCACGCCAGAAACTTATGGGACAGAGCCACAGTTCTTTTACCCAGAGTAAATCAGTTTTGGTACAAGTACACCTATATGGAGGAAATGCTGGAAAATGTAGCTGGAGCAAGAGCAGTATTCGAAAGATGGATGGATTGGCAACCCGATGAGCAAGCTTGGCAAACTTACATTAATTTTGAACTGAGATACAAAGAAATTGACAGAGCCAGGCAAATATACGAAAGGTAAATTACTACTGAGCTTGAATCTTATTCCTTCATCTAAATCACCTTGTATTTACTGTTTTTATAGATTTGTTATAACGCACCCGGAAGTGAAACATTGGATTAAATACGCCCGGTTCGAAGAAAATCACGGTTTTATCCATTCCGCTAGGCAGATTTATGAAAGAGCTGTCCAGTTTTATGGAGATGATCACTTGGATGAGAAGCTTTACATAGCTTTTGCCAGATTCGAAGAAAACCAAAAGGAACACGATAGAGCTAGAGTTATCTACAAATACGCTTTAGATCACATTCCTAAGGATGAAACGAAGGAACTCTATAAAGCATATACCATCCACGAGAAGAAATATGGAGACAGAAGCGGTAATTTCAATTGAACAAACCGAAAACTAAGCAAAAATTAATCATCTTGTTTCAATAGGTATCGAGGAAGTTATAATGTCTAAAAGAAAACTGCAGTACGAACAAGAAATACTCCAAAATCCCACCAATTATGATGCTTGGTTCGATTACCTGAGACTCGTAGAAGGAGAGGCTGATTTGGAAATAACCCGAGAAACCTACGAGAGAGCCATTGCAAATATACCTCCATCGAAAAACAAACAATACTGGAGAAGATACATTTATTTGTGGATCAATTACGCTTTATTCGAAGAACTGGAAGCGAAGGATTACGAACGAACCAGACAGGTACATTACCAGCTCTGGAAGAGTAACTATTCACACGTTTAATTCTATTTTATTCGTTTCAGGTGTATAAAGCCTGCCTGGAAATCCTGCCGCATAAAACGTTTACGTTTTCCAAAATCTGGCTGCTCTACGCGCAGTTCGAAGTGCGCCAGAAATGTTTAAAAGCGGCCCGGAAAATTCTAGGCATGTCCATTGGAATGTGCCCTCGGGATAAATTGTTCCGGGGTTACATAGAGCTGGAGATACAGCTCCGGGAGTTCGATAGATGTCGAAAGCTGTACGAGAAATTCCTGGAGTTCGGTCCGGAAAATTGCGTTACTTGGATGAAATTCGCGGAACTTGAGACCCTATTGGGCGATACCGACAGAGCGAGAGGCATCTATGAATTGGCTATAAACCAACCGAGATTAGACATGCCGGAATTACTCTGGAAAGCTTACATAGACTTCGAGATATCTCAAGAGGAGCCCAATAACGCCAGGCAAATCTACGAAAGATTGTTAGAGAGAACTTCCCACGTCAAAGTGTGGCTTTCGTACGCTAAATTCGAATTGAATAATCCTAGCGAGGAAGATTTCAACGTACGATTGGCCAGAAGGATTTTCGAGAGAGCCAACGAGAATTTGAAAAACGTCCCTGAAAAGGAAGCCAGGGTGTTACTGTTGGAAAACTGGAAGGAATTCGAAAACAATCACGGCGATGACGAGCACAAAGAAAAAGTCAACGCCAAGATGCCCAAGAGAATCAAAAAGAGGCAGAAGGTTATCGATGAGGATGGCGTGGAGCAAGGCTGGGAAGAGGTGTTTGATTATATATTCCCCGAAGATGAAGCAAGCAGGCCTAACTTGAAGCTACTAGCAGCTGCTAAAAACTGGAAGAAGAATACAGACGAACCGGATGAGGATTCAGAAAATCGACCGAGCCTTTCCAGCAGTAGCCAAAGGATGAAAGAAAAGTTATTAGCCTCCGTGAAAAATTGGAAGAATAACGACAAAGAAAACAGCGATTCTAATAAAGATGACGGCTCAAATGAAGAGGAAGTTCAAATCGATAACAATGAAGTAGAAAATTAAGAAACATGTCTTACTTTAAGAAAAAACATTTAGTAATAAATCGATTCTATTTTGGACAGTAATTTGTATTCCTCCTTAGATTTTAAAAATAATTACATTTTGAACTACATCCTTAATCAAACTCACATTTGTATTCCTTGTGTTTTGTTCTCCGATGTCTAATCAAAGGTGCGGGTTGCCTGAACGCTCTCGAGCATAAATTGCATTTATAAGGCTTAGTATCTGTGTGAATGTTCATGTGGTATTTCAACGAGTTCTTCACTGTGAATTTTTCATCACAAATCTCGCAGCGAAATCTCTTTGTCTCTTCGTGTACTATTAGTATGTGCCTGTTCAAGCTCGATTTGGAAGAAAATTGTTTGCCACACTTTTTGCAATCGTGTTTGCGTTTAGAATATTTAAATGTTTTATATTTGTGACTTTTACTCTGCAAGTCCGAATTAATTTGCTCGTGCTGTGACAAATGCTCCTCGAGACCTGCCGAACTTACAAACTCAAAATCGCATATGTTGCATTTAAGGTGACCTTCTGGTGTTATTACAACCAACTTTTCGATGCTTACATCCAATTCTTGTGTAAAAAGAGCGTTGTGATTCATTTTTAAATGGTCTTTAACTTGAGTTTTATCTACAGCGGTCCATTCGCATAAAGGACATTTGTATTTATTTATTTCCTCGTGTTCCATCATGTGGTATTGTAAACTTTTGGAATATTTAAAGGTTTTATTGCATTTCTCGCAGATGTATAACAGTGTTTGTGAGCTTTCGTTACTGGAACTATCGCAATTTTTTTCAGCCATTTGGTCTGGATTTTGAATTAGTTCATTCTCTGGGGTTCCATTTTCTATGATAATTGTTTCTACATTACTGCCATCTTCATCGCTATTTGTTGTGTGAATGTTATGGTCATATAGATCATATTTTTTTTCGTAGAGCGTGTTTATTATGTTCGTGGATTCATTCAATTTTTTGATAAAATTATGGATGTTTTGCAATTGTACGGAACATTCCTTGCAGATATTTTCACTCGGCGATTCCTAAAAATATAATTGCTTAAAAAGAATATAATTTGTTTAACAAAACTTACCGATCCTTCGCACGTTTGCAGAAGTAAAAGGAATATGGAATAATGCTTATGATTGTGGAGAGAAGTCACTTCTTCTCTGGATAAACACACCCTGCAAACTTGATCCAAGTTGTCTACATCTAGTTCTTGGATCGCTAAATTATCTTCTAAATCTGGAACTAGAGTGATTTTAGTATTTAAATTTTTCGGATTTTTAAATTGCCGATTTTTCGAAATTTGGCTTACTTTCAGAGTTTAAGTCACGATCACTTGTAGTTAAAAAATCCTCCTCCATTATGTTTATATTTATAAACAATTACTCAATAAATATACCAAGTGCCAGGTTTTGAGTTATTTATCTTCTAATCACAACGACAGTCTATTATAAATCACAAGCACTCATTAAATACCAAAAAAATAAATATATTATATTAAAAAATAAACAATTCTTAAATCATAACCTTACTTATTTGTTTGTTAAAAATATTCTTCGAATTCTTTCTGTCAAAGTTGTCAAAACCTGTGGCCTTTTCCTATAAGGAATGTAGGTTACCTATCATTTTAGAATTAATTAATGGTTCAATTAGAAATAATTAAAAATGGTTAATTACATGTTTTTAATAAGATTGTATGTTAAACATTAACTATAATTGATAATCGCATATAAAAAGAAGAAGATAATAAATTTTTTTCCCAATGCCATTAGCATTCAATGGCGGTTATGGATAAAACCAGAATTAAAAATATAATCATATTAAATCAAATTTTCCTTTTGAAATAGGTATTAAAAATGTATTTAAATAGGTATTTAAATGTAAGTTGAATGAAAAATATATAATAACGAATAAATAACAGGGAAAACCAATCAAAAAAACCTAAAAATTAGTGTGTGATAAACCGAAAATTGCAAAAAAATTTTTTTCATTCTAAAAATTATTAAGAGAATATTTGATATTTTCGTAAAGCCCTGGTATAGAAGAGGAACAGCACCGAATCGGCAGCTCCCGTGCACGTGCGCCAACAAGATTCAAACTCGCCGTATGGCGCGAATAATCCCCTACCTCAAGTCCGAAAATACTTTTAACCATTCATTATTGAAAAGCCAAAAGCCCGATAGAACGAACAGTCCGCCACGCTCCTATTTTCACTTGTCGCGTCGCGATACATTCGCGCTGCATTTTCACTGCGACTTTTCTCGAAAATCGGGAATTTTCATGGAAAAGCCCGTCAACAGCGAGGTTTCCGTGTCGAAGATCGTGGTCAAGAAGGAGAACTTAAACGATGACATCAAGGTAGGATATAAATAATTATGTTCTCTGGTGTTTGTTTGGGAAATTCGTATCGGATTTTTTTTGAGGTGATGATCCGCGTGTTTTGTTACATCACTGAAAAACGTGTAGTTTCTATGTAATGGATTTTTCTTTGTTCGTTTTCTCAATGATCATTTTTAATTACAAAATATTTTTTTGAATTAAAATTTAAACACAAACGTATAATGGAACTTATCTAATTAAACATCAACACACTATTAGTGTTTTTTTTTAAATTTGTATCCTATATTGTTTGTTGAAAAATAAATATTATGTAATAAAATACCTATTTAATGTGTTCAGTTTCAAATTATAAATGCACCTAATGAATTTAAAATTGTTTATTACATACACATATTTTTTTTCTTTTATACATAAATATTTTTTTATAAATTCTGGGACCTTCTTCCGATATACAAATTATTACAAGTATTGTTTCACAATGATTTTTTTTATATTTATGAGATTTATTTTTTTAAGAACTGCTTCATTATTTTTTTTTTCTAATTTGTAGAACGTAGTAATCAGAAAATATCTTCTCGATACACATATTTAAGAAATATGTTTGCTTGCATACCTAATCAATAGAAAACAATTATCAAAACATTTATGCCCGGCTGTTAGAGTTCCAAGATAACAATTTGGTATCAAATATCTCCTAATACCTTCACTGTTATGCACAAAAATATCGCGGATTTTCAAAAAAGTTCCCTTAAATATGTTGCATAAAATAAAAAAGTAGATTGCCGATATCTACCTGTTACCTTCGATTGATATCCAAGGATATCTGACACCCGTGCTTTTATGTCTTTCAAACTTTTTTACACTTTCACAAAATTACCGCAATTTTAATTGAAAATTTGAATAAAATAGGTGTCCTCTCGTAATTTCTCTTTATTATTAATTTTTTATAGCTCATCTGCTTTCAAATATATTAATTCGAATCTGACTTTTCAATTCTTCACTTTTGTGTATAAAGCTTGTATAATTTAAGCATCTGCAGCTTGAGCTGTAAGTTATAAAGTACTGTTTCTCTCCTATTGAAGCTTTTATATCTTCTATATTTTATGATTCAGTAGGTCTATAAACTTTTTCAGCTAGTTGTCGTTACTAGTTAGCATATTACCTAGCTTCCCAACTCCACTTAATCATAAACACCAAAAAAAGTCGAGCAAAAGTTGCCCTAAACTAACTCTTCTACTGCTTGCTGTAACTGTAGACCAATAAATATATAGAAAAAACACCAAGAACGACCAGAGTAGAATAGATGGACAGATCCTTTTGCAGGATGGGATGTGCAATTTAGTTTTGAGACATTCGAGTACCTACCACACTGGCAAGCAGCATAAAATATCTCAGTATTTACGACTGTGCCAGTGATGGGTATCGGTTAACGCGCCATCTGTTACCCGATATGGCCGATCGCCTTACTGGTATGGGATCCGGTTGCAACCCGGCCGGCTAAACTAAGGCCCGTGCTCTACTACACCGTATTTATTTCGGTTTGCTTATAGGGAAAAAGTTTTCCGCGCAAAAAAGGGATATTATTCGAAATTCCACCCGTCGCTGATCTGGTTTGGCGAGGATCGTTTACGTTTCGCTCAATTTTTTATGGAATATTCGTGCCAATAGAGCTCTATTAAGTTTGAAGCGAATATTTCATAGAGTCTCCTTAGTAGAGCAAAAGATTTGTTCCAAATTATAGTGTTAAAATATGAGTGTTTGGTCTTCATTTTATTGAGTATGTAGTTATGAATTTTTGCTAGTTTCGACCAAGTGTTTGTTGTCTGTTGAGATTTTTAGTAATGGGACACTCTGTACAACTTCTGGTACATTAAAAATATTGTTAAAATTAAGTGGGATCCAGTTGCGTTCGACCTTACCCAGCATGCTTCATTCAATGCAGCGGAATAAGTTTTAGTTATAAACGTTGCATATCAAATAACCGTTTGTAACTTTTACAGAATAACCTTTGACACTTCTTTAACTGCACGAGATAGTCGAAAAACAGGTGTAGTCTGTTACATTGAAGTTGGAGGACGTAAATAAAATAGAAGGCAGTGTCAGGTTACCTGTTTGTTGGCCGACCGAAAGTGTGATTGTAGACGTTCCCCATTTATTTATGTAGATGTAACGTTCGCCTAGAAATTCGCCGATGTATCTGACCAGCAGATCCGGCACCGAAGATTTTCCTCCCGAGCGATATTATAGACGATAAATTCGCTTGGAAAAGGCGAGACCCGTAATCATCGCACAAGCCGAACTTCCTTGCATAAACTGCATCCAAAAGGCCGTAATTTTCGATGTATCCAAAGTGCACTTTACTCCATAAAAGCTATCGGATATTTAAACGAGACTAACACACTAAAACTTTAGAGCTTATTTCAGACTTCACTCTATAGTAGGTAGTAACCATGTAAGTTAATACCGAGCGATATCATAATATATACACAAGAGTACATAGGTGAACCCCGTAATCCGATACGGGACGCACGGGGAACGGGGAAAAATGGGGATGTTTAGTTTAACATGAAGAGCAAGCGAGTCTTTGGGTGTCCATTTTCGAAATTGTTTCTAATTATACAGTCGGTGCTGGTACAATTTCGTAACCGAAGATCAGCCCGCGTGAGGGATGTTCTATTAATTTCGAATTTGCCTCTTTTGCGCGTTTTTGCTCATCTTTCATTAAAGGGAAAATGTATTTACGCAACAACTTCTTTAATTTAGGAATTATACGCTCATATACTTATACAAGCCTTTAAAATTATTAGTAGTTATTAAAGAACCTTCCCATTTTCAAAAAAAATAATAATAATAAAGTTACAGTTGGCAGCCCCGAGCTAGTACCAACTCAATAAACATTAAAATTGATCAATAAAAATCTTATCAATCTATACAGTTGTAGCGGATAAATAACAGCATGTAGAACATAGCTCTCATTAAAAATGTTATTAAACACGTCATACAATATTAATACTACTCCGATGCCAAAGCGTCGGCGTCGCAACGTTTATAAAGTTCCTCGATTATGTTTCAGATTCTCGCGTTACGCGAGTTTCCGTTTACAGCGAGTAAGCCGAACGCCCAGCGCAAACCAAGCGTTAAATATACCATTGGCTGCATAACTTACGCGGCACGTCAATCCGCGTACCCTTTTATATGGTAAATTTGAGAAATTCGTTTGGCTCTGCGATTTTCCTCGAGTTTCGTCGACTGGATTAATTGAGATGAAAAACTCGCCGCGAACCGGATAATTAATCGAGGATAGTTTGTTGGAAGCTGGATGAATTGATGATTTGTGATGTATATACAAATTTACAAAATTTCAATTTGTTTTGGTACTAATGGGTTTTTGGTTTATTTGAAATAAATTTTCGCGTGCAAGAGGATATAATTCGAATAATTGGGCGTGAGAAAAGCTCCGTTGTTTCGCGAGCATCCCAGTTATTTTTCGTTGTTTTGAAAAATGCGATCCATTGAAATGCGAGGCGAACTTGATGGATAGAAAACGTCGGGGGTTAATTTTCCAAAAACATTGATTATTCTGTTACATCAACAAACTTTCGAATGAAACGTAGTATCCAGGTTACGATGTATTTTATTTTGATGCCGCATACTTTTGTTTCGATGTTGGGATTTTTGCTGATAGATCTGGACCTGTTTTTTTCGATGGAAAATATCCCGTTTCAAGCTACTGAAGCGATTCGTTTATTCATCGAAAGCTCCCTTCGCTCGGGAAATTGACGAATAAGAAATTACAAGTTAATTAAATAATGAACGAAACAAATTGTGTAATAAAACCAGCAGGTACTTAATAATTATTCTCTGATAACGATTATAGGCAATTATATTAATCAACAATTTCGATTGAGTCATTGAAAGACTATTAATGAAGGTAAATTTACTTTTTATCTGCGCAACAATTCGGACTAATATTTTTATGGAACTAGATGACAGGCCGGTTTCCTGCAAAAGATTGTTCATATATTCCTGGTATCGTGAGATGATATTTACTGGGATTCTTCTGCCGGTTGATTGACATATCCTCATCACATTAAATTTTTCAAACAAAAATTTCAAATATTCTCTATACATATTGAGTAGAAGTAGGTAAGTATTCATCGTTTAAAATCCAATATAATTAAAAAAAACTTGTGCTTTCTATTCTCAATAAAGTGATACGTTTAAGGTGCATACAATATACAATTCGACGACAAACTATCGGCGGTATCGTTTACTCAGACTGCATTAGCGTTTCATATTAAAATTACTATATGAAGCTGATACACTGCGATCGGGTTACGTCTCTTTTTACCCAAGCTGAGTTAGAGCAGAGCCAGTCGGGGAGGCTGAGCAGAGGTGTAAATTTAGCCGTTCCCGATATTTTAGACACCGAGCTATCGGGTTACGCGAATTCGTGTGTTGTACTTACGTACAACGCAATACTTACACGTATGCACGTTATAGTATAATCATTACAAAAGCTAGACGACGGGATTTTGTCAAAGGGCCTTGCCGGCGTCGATGGCGCGAGGGATCTTAATATATATTTAAATCATCGGTGTATAGTGTGTGGTTTTAATGAGTTTTCTATTTTTTGCTATACAGGGTGGTTCATGATCTACGAGGCCAACTGTGGCGCCACAAATAAGTTAAAAGTGATGGTGTAGCAGAGGGAAAGGTTTATGAACCACCCTGCGTGTAAGAGTAGCTGAAATGGTGGTTTTGTTTTCAGGAATTCGCACAAAATGCAATGAATGAGTTACTGGGTTGGTATGGATACGACAATCCCAAGGAAGATTTGAGGATTCCCAGAACGTGCAGGTCACTTTCAGGCAGCAACAGTTCCGGATTCTCGCCGAAATCTTCCGGTAATATAAATAAAATGTTTGAAAATTTTCGAAAAAAAGATTTAAATTACTTCTCAAAGTAGGATCGTGTTTCATACAAACTTTCCAGTGAACATTATTTGAAGTTATTTTGATGAAGGTTGTCCCAAATTTTTTTAAAGATCCTTAAAACAAATATGTTATCATACTATTAGTTCAACCCATAGAAATATATGAATACCAATTAGTTGAGTACCTACCTTAGTATTGCTTTTCCAAGAATTGAAATACTATAATTCGTTATAATTAAAATAATGCTAGTCATGATGAGATAATGCATTCGGCCTTCACCCTCCTGACGACAATGCACTTTGATTAATGAAACTCAATAAAATTCCGAGAATAATTTCGAAAAAATAAACAGGTAAAACTACCCCATTATTAATAGAGCGCGATTCCAAGAATCCACGAACGAGGGTGAAAAACATTTATTTAACAACCCTTTTTTATAAATAAAAAAAAATCATTCCGGTTATTCGGACTCGTTACAATATTTTAATGCCCCTATAGCATTCGAATAAAAAATATTATCCACCCATCAAATGAGGCGGATATTAATTAGAATTACAAACGAAATGTATATTTTAAATCAACAAATTTTTACATCATCATCGAATTTCCCCCATCATTAGAACGGAAATATCGAAACGCAATTATTACTTAACAAATGATCACAATTATAACAAAAACATTAATCAGTATCCGATTTCTCATCGACATTAACAAATAAAGGTATTTGAATTTCATAACCGCGGCCAGATGAAATCCAGTTTATCATGCCCGTTTGCAATAGGTAGGTATTGTAATTATAAAATTTTTATTCGCTCTCCCGCCTATCGACGTTATTTTAATCCGATACAACGAAATGACAAATAGCAGGAATTATCATAATCATAATGATCATTAAAATACAGGGCGTCCCAATGAAAAGTAGCCCCTTTAATGAGCTTACAATTTGTAAACGCCTAATCATAAAAACATGCGGTTTTCTCAAAAATGTTTTATTTTATTACAAGTTTTGTTACAGTGATATAGAAATTATGCATTATCATTACAGGGTGTTGTATAAAAATCTTCTCTTTTAAATTCACAGTTACTAATTTTTTTAAATGGCATAAATTTTTAACACCCCGTATATATAGAGTTATTTTGAATGATATACTCTTCTACTATTCAAAAATGTATTATTTGTACATGTTATTCTATAAAAGAAAATGTCCTATTTTATAAAATTTGGTTAATGTGAATTTAAAAGAGGAGATTTTTATGAAACTCCCTGTACAGGCGATACGAAATTTTTGTGTTGCTGTAACAAAAAGTTATAGCAAATTAAAATATATCTGCGAAAACCGGAAGTTTTAAAAATTATTAGCTCATTAAAGGGGCTACTTTTTATTGGGACACCCTGTATTACCTCTCGCGCAGCTTTTTGCAGGACAATTTTCAAAATCGAAATGCAAAATAAATCGGAGCGAAACCTTGATGGCACGTTTTTGTAATACATAAAATGCGTTCTCGATTTTTGTGACCTTTTATAAATCAAAAACTAGCCTACGTTGAAATGATTCTTGGATTCGAAGCCAAAAGACAAAGGAGCGTCAGGCGTAAACTAAATCTCGATTCAAGATGAAGGTTGCTGAATTTATTTATATTATTTCGCTTTTGGCGTAGTTCGCTTAATATTTTAATGGCGACCTTTAGAAAAATCCACTGGATAGACATCTTTTGTTTATACAGGGTGGCCAAATAATTAAGAAAGCTAGAACAATGATTTGAGCTTGCCTATATTAGATCAATAATACTCTGTAATTTTGGATACAAAATTTGTTTATTTGAGAACTCTATCAACAGTTTTATAGTGCATTCTATGAGTAAAACACCCAGTCTAATGTTTAAGGGGATGTGTAAGTGAAGTATCTACAAACTTTAAATAATAGTAATTTTTTTCGAAAACGAAGCTCCCTGGTAATGCTATTAATTGGACACGTTAATTGCGCGAATTAAGAAATCGCAATCAACTGAACCGTTCTGACTCGTGTGTTAGACAAAAGTGTAAGATAATCTCAATCTCAAGTTATTTTCAGCGTTTGGTGTAATATCGGTCAGCGCGTGCTAGATATTATAAACCAACATTCGGTTATTTTGATTCGCACAAAGGGTCGAATGTTGGTGTTTTGAATTTCTAAAAATATCAATATACCTACCTTATTTATTCTAATACGCTAGTGAATGCGTTTCAATTGAAAAAAAAAACAAGTCTGGTTCACGTTGAATAAACGCGTATGTTTTAAAAATGTATCTAATACATTTGTATTTTCGATTCGTCGAAAACGCCCTATAATAAACTAAAATTTGCGCGTTATTAATTCGGAATGTTGTAGAAAAATATTTATAATTTTTTAGATGGTTGTGGATGGTGTGGAAAAGCTATCGACGAAACAATAGCCTTATCTTCAGGCTCTACAGTTTTCTGCTCCGAACTCTGTTTCTCCCAATCCAGGCGAGCAAATTTCAAGAAAAATAAAACCTGCGACTGGTGTCGGCACGTCAAACACACCGTATCGTACGTAGACTTTCAAGTAAGAAAACTCCCCCATCAACTCACCGTGAATTAACGATCCTAATTGCATGTTTCAGGATGGTGCATCGCAACTTCAATTTTGCTCCGACAAATGTCTGAACCAATACAAAATGCACCTGTTTTGCAGAGAAACGCGAGCCCACCTGGAGCTCCACCCTCATCTGCGCATAGACGAGTCCTCCAGCGGCACCCTCATCACTCCGGATTTGTGGCTGAAGAACTGCAAGTCGCCGGAGCTGCGCAGCCCCTCGCCGGACATATCGCCCAAGCCGCCGGAGAAGCCGAACTCCCAGATTTCGCCGCTCAGCTTGGTCTCCTCTCCCCATCCCATGAAGAGCGCAGCTCCGGACAGCAAGAGGAATAGAATAAAGAACCAGAAGAAAACGAGGAAGAGGATGCCGGCCACTGTCACGTGCAACAACAGCAACGACGCTGTCAAAATGGCTTTTCCGGTGGACGACGCGCCGCAGGATTTGAGAGTGAGGCACACCCCTCCGGATTTCCAGCCCAGGCTGCCGGAATTTTACGATAAAGTTCCCGTTTTCAAGCCCATAAAGCTGCCCACCGAGCCCAGGGTACCCTCGCCCCGGGCACCTTCGCCCAAACCTGAAATTGAGACTGAACCTGCACCTACTAATTCCTCTACAGTTTTGAAGAAATTATTCGAATCTCTACTACCTCCGCCTACCGTCATAGTACCTTATCCCATCATTCTGCCCATACCCATCCCCATACCGATTCCGATTCCGCTGCCCATAAAGAAGGAGGAGAAACTAATTGAGTTGGTCAAGAAGGATGCTGCGAATCAGACTGATGTTAACGAAATCGAAACGGAAAACGAAAACGATAACGAAAACCACAAAACGGTCAATGGTGTTCTAGATTTAAACGGAAAGGATGATTTCAAGGTGCTCGACAGGCCTTTGAGAAAGAGAAAGAGAACTTGCGAACCCAAAGGAAGGGTGATCATAAAAGATAGGAAAGTGATACTTAGCACTAATTAAGTTTCTGTAAATTATTGTATCGAATTCCGAAGGAAAAAAAATAATCAACCGTTAGTAATGTGGACGTAGAAATTAAATGCATATAGAAAGCATTAAACGATGATGACGAATTAATTTAAAGAATTATTAGCGAATAAGTAACGATTAACATAAACCAAAGTAATTATTCAATAAAGAATAGGTTATAGGTAACGTTGTACGCTGTGAAAGAGTGATAAAAAGTAGGGTAGGTATATTTATTAAACTTATAAATCGACAGGAATAGCTAAATGACATATGTCATTTTTTTGCTATACCTGTCGATCTGTACCTATTGCTTACTGTTTAATAAATTAAAAGTATACGTAGGTAAGTAAATGTACTTACCTTTACTCCTACAATTTTGTCAAACAAATCAGTATTTACGCAAGATTAACAATTTTCGGTACTAAAGAATATAGGTATCGTCTATAATAAGTATACATAGTATAGTTTCTATTCAAAGTAAAACAGCATATTTTGAATGTAAACAATCAGTTAGTGTATAATACAATTACCATAGATTAATTATTTTCATGTTATTACCTGCTCGTTTAGATACTTACAGAGCGATAGGAATAGCTGCAGATGTGAGATTGTGATGCGCAGCAAATTTATCGTTTGAAGATTGTGCCGGTCAGACCTGTATGCTGCTATTTATAGTGCATCTGTAAGTAACTTAAGTACACTTAGTTTTTGTGGAATATGAACGATTAAAATTTCTAGGTAAATTCTTATTCTCTCATTCCATTTTTGAATAATTTTTCGTTTTTGCGCCACCCATTAAAAAAATCGTTTTAGGTAAACTAACATCGAAAAAAATACGATGAATGTAAAGAAATGATTTTTTTTATTATGAAACAAAATTACCATGTTACCGGATGAATAAATCAATCAGTTATGAATGGTATTATTTTTATTAGTGATTTTTTTTATGTCTGTTACAACAATTTCAATTTGTTATCGGTTTTATTCTAAATATAAATGATGTAGAAATATAGACATACATAATAAATTTAATACGAATAAAATTTGTTTCATATTTTATCCTAAAATTTAAGAAACTATCTTTCAAAAAGCAATATTTGAGGTAAACATTTTCTTAATATATCCCAAAGCGACTGATATTAATAATGCATTTTAATGCACATATGTAGGTATGCACCTACTAGCGACACTCTTGATGAATCACGCGTAAACTCTCTAACTGTAAAGCAGATATATTCGCTTCATTTTGCTGGTAAACTCAGTTAAATTCAATACTCTATTGTAACTACAATTCACCAGAGAGCGCCAGTTGTTGGGCCCGGAATTAAGAGCTTTATTAACGAGAAACCAAGCTTCCTGTAATTAGTGGTTTGATTTGTCTAATCAGATATCCCAATCTTGCCTACAATGGGAGCTCAATAGGTATATTGAATAAATTACAGTCATTGAGCGAACACTGATTAACCGTAGTTCAGAATTTACAATCTTGAATAGAAACTTGTTGGAATGTAATGCAACTTTAGATAACTTTTATTGAGTTAGTATTTAAGTTTTATGTATTTTTTATACAAATGTTTGTAGGGAACAAAGGAAAATGGATGTATTGGAGTAAAAAATAAGGGTTATAGACAATTTTAAGACCATTTTATTGGCTGAGGCATTTATTGTACATTTATAATATTCAGGTTTACTGTTTATAATATTATAGGTATCAGGATAGATAGTAGTTGTTACCCCATACTCTTAGAGATTCCGCTAAGGAACTCTCTAAACATCATTCTAGCGCACCTTTTTTTGTTAACTATCGTCGTATCATATAATTTACACTTTAATAATTACACACTATAGTAAAATATATTCATGTACATGTAGTAGCTCTCTTGTCCCAGTTATCTGATTCAGAGGTGTCCGGTAAGAGTGCCATCTTTGCCGATGCCATTCTAGCGCACTTCCAGCCCGAAAGTCCAGAATAACTGAGTGTCAAACGGTATTCCGAAAGGCGAACCGAGAGTCTCTATTGACGAGCCAACTTTTATCTTTTATTTATTTTTTTTTGAAAACTATTAACAGGCTTAAGGATTCAGTCAACAAATCTATTTATAAAAATATTTAGGCCGTCAGGAACGAATAATTATTAAATTTTTATATGCCGTCTCAGTTCGCCTCGCAAGAAATAGCTGTTTCACGGGTCACAGGTGAAAAATGTGGGGTGATAGAAGGGAGGGGTCGGGATTTCAGGTTGCGACAATGGTACTATCTAAGTTTGCTTGTAGTTCAATTACCCGTAGAGAAATTTATCCGAGTTAATTTCAGTAAAAGAATTTCCAAATTTTCTGCAATAATCGTTAGTTTTATACAGAAAAGTACATGGTGTAAGAATTGATCTGGAAAGAAAATTTTCGTTTTGACATGTACTTTAGTATGTTAGGAATGAATTTTTCTGCAGGTACTTGACCAGTTGTGCGCTAGTGCATAGTGACATTTACATATTAATGAAATCTACGAAAAATTTAAAGATATCAGTGCATTGTGTTTTGTTATATAAACATTCATATGAACAGTTAGTATTTTCTTTTAGAACTAAACACGTAAAAAATAAATATATTTATATTTATAGAATATATTTTTCACATTTTTAATATATTACGTGCAAGTGCAACTCGGCGTTGACCCCTTAAATAATTTGCGGCCATTTTAAAACGTCCCTGGATTGTATATAGAGATAATTAAAATTAAAACACATATTTTTTCTAACCACTAGATAAGCGTAAAGTTTTCGAGATGTTTTAAAACGGACATACCACTAAATTTATAATACAAAATATGAATAAAAAACACGACTGGTACCGTAAATATTAATGTATATAATATTTTTTGATTGTGTCTCTTTACTTGAAACTAGTCGCATTTCCATCATATCCTCGAAATTATTGCGTCAGTTACTTCTGATATTTCTTCATTATTACTATAATTTACCTTTAGAAACTAAATATTGACTAGAAATTGACTAGAAATTTTTTTAAACGTTCGATTTAAGGAGCCCTACCGAGGTTGTCCGTAAAGAAATCACACTCATTAATAAAAAGAAACAATATCCTTTGGCAGGATCCACATTTTATGTATAATATATCACATTAAAAATATTCCACTGAGCCATACATTACATCACTTGTGCCTTAAATAAATAAAAATGTGGTGCGAGTAGTGCGTTTTAGTGCAATTGTGCGATCGTACACTAATTAGGTCAGGAAATTTAAGCCCTGGAAGAAGTTAATTTTTACTAAACTCACTCTAATTTAATCCCTAACTCTATTTAACTTCTTTTCGGCTGAATAGTCAATTTATCCAAGCGATCAAAAAAAATTCTAGTGTGAACAATTATATTTTATGTATACTTACTATGTCCTGTGAGTGTGTTAGTGACTCGAAAAAGGTTTATTTTTTATCTATTATTTACAGAAAAATATATTTTCCGCGACTGTTTTTTATTTTGACAATTATTGTTCACTCTAAATTTTTTAACGATCTGGAATGTGATTATGCTGGGAAGAAAACAGGGCGGGGTATCCCTTTGACCCTTGGATTAGAAAATCTAGGTTTATTTCTTTTGGAAATGAGTTTTTTTATACGTGTTCTCTCCCTTATATTTACAGTTGAAAGAAATTACACTCGATTGCGCCCGTTCGAAATAAAAATATACTGAGGTAGGTTAAAAGCGTATTTATAAAAATCATCACAGTTTCGGCTACGTTATTCGAATTTTAAAATACGTACAGCTTCCTTTTACGGTAGATAAATTAGGCCTATAGAGAATAAGTTAGTATAGCACAAGCCTTGAAAATTGTACTCGAAATCGTCTAATTCTAATGTTAATTGTTAAGAAAAGTTAAACTGGAACGGGTAGGTATGTGAGTTTAGGTACATCTTATTATAACTTTACTGGCGGATTGTATGTATTTTCTTAATTAGGTATACCTATTATTAAACACTTATTAGAAAAATAGAAGTACATCAGGTAGTTTAATTTTTTCTGCGTGTGTACAGTGCTACAAGAATAGTTACAGACGTGCGATGCGCAAAGAAAGTAGCGCAGATAACGTATGTAGTTATTCCTGCAGCGCAGTAGGTAGTAGCAGAGTAAGCAATTATTTCTAATAATCTATTTAATTTTTCTGCCGATTATTTCGTACTGTCCGGTGCAGGAAGGTTTGAAATTGTTGTTTTTTTTTCAAAATGTTTTCGACAAATTTCTCTAATTACGTTTTCGTGTGTTCGTTTAAAAATAATTAATTACTGAACTGAAAAAGTGCCTGAATGAATTTCGATTTTCGTCTACCCTCTACCAAAGCGGGGTTCGATAAACAAAGATTTATCTAGCAGTGATTAATATTCTAAGTCCGGAGGTTATTGACTTTTCGGTCTCGTTTCTTGTTTTCAATTTGAATTGCACAGAAATAAGGTCAGACTAACGTGAAAATCCATACCTTATCTGAATCAATATGCTCACTTCATTGGCAACCGAACAACCAGAGGTGGGTACGTAATCCAGCGGCACGGAACGATGTTTTTACTCAAACTTATCCAAACAAACTCGGAGCTCGGTGTTATTTTCCGCGATACAATTACTTTCCGGAATGTATAAGTATCCCTGAATTGAACTCGTATGATCTCCAATGACTAAATTTGGAACTAACTTTCACTGTGTCTTCCAGTCAATCGAAACGGTAATTTGCCTATTACATTTTAAAGGAAGGTAAAATTAGAACCGGTAATTTCTTTCAACTATAATTACATGTAATTATGTCTACAAATAGGCCGCGTATTTCAATTATTTAAGACTAAGCCATGGAACCAAACCTCAAATCGCAATTTGACAACAATTTTTTTCTCTGTAAGTACCACTCCATCATTCACCGGATAACCAACGACTGTCAAATTCGTTTCCAAGTTCTATTCCACTTAAAAACACTAACTAATTAAACTTAACAGACTCAGACTTTATGTATATTTCTAAATAAAAACCTAACCTTGTATACGCATCTCTGACTTACGCCTGTTCTGTGCGAAAACCGTCCTTCTTCGTTTCGTTCAAACGGTTTTCCTTTACAATCGAAGTCGATCGGGTCGTTCATAATGAGCAAAGCTTCTAAATAAACCGCTGTGTAAAATTTGTAACCGCTAAATTCGGTCAATAGATTGGTTTCGGTGGCTCAGGATGGCTCCGGTCGGAGTCATCACCCGAAGCTAAATATTGACGCTCGTAAAACTGTACAATTAGAAATTGTTGCTTCTAGCGGTGGATTTTAGACGGCGGTCCAGCCTCCAATAAGCCCTGCTCAAAATGTTCACAACCGGCTCAGGTTCGACGGTTTCCCATAATGTGCTCTATTTAATGTACATCAAAAGCATTAATATCATAAATATCTGAGACAATGCAACATTTATAAACACATTTATTCTAATCTATATTTATTTTTTTTATAATTTTTTTATCATTTATACTACTCAATTTGTGCATAAATATAGAACTCGAAAAACCGGAGCCCCCTCTGTAAACAATGAGCTGCAATCGCTCGCAAGTCAGAGCATACCAAGTCTTAACAGTCTAATTTAGAATATTAACAACAGTAACAGTAATATAATGTAACAAATACAACATAATGATCAACATTCTGTACTTTAACAATCTGGTTTGGAATTTGTCGAAAAATGAAAAAAATCACACTACAGAGCACCAGATGTGTTCGATTGAAATAAAAAGTATAAGGCCTTCGTTCTAAAGCTTCCTCTAGACGGGAGAGGTCATTTTCAGCTCGAAATGCCTATGGGGAATGATTTACACGGCCAGCCGCAGTACTGATTCACCGACACCCAGTCAGCCCCGATTCGAGTCCAATTGACTAAAAAGAATTTACTCTTAAAACGGAAAGGAGAATTGATGTAGAAGAACAAGAAGATGTCCGCGTCGGTAGCTGCTGCCAGCAAAGTCTTTTTACTCTCTGAAGTATACGCTAATCAGTGGGCGGAGGACGGGGAAAAGGGGGCCAGACACGGGCGCGTTTCGACCTGACTTTGAATACACGTCCGTGGCCGGCCCGAGAAGTTTATATGGGGGGGAAAAAGGGTTTAACGCCCGCGGGCCCACCGAAGTAGCGCGTCAGCTAATACGTCCAGGTGCGCTTTTGTCTGAAACAGAAAGAAAAAGTTTTCTCGTAAATATACTGAGCGATTTCGGAACGATTGAGTGAGAAATAAATGCCGTAAAATGCCGTTTTTTCACAAAAATAGCACTATATTTTATTTTCAACAACAACCGTTTATCACGGAAAATAGGCACGTAATCTGGATAAACTTTTTAGGACTTTCCGCGACACTTCTATCAACTTTTTATAACTTTTATTTTTCCGAATATTAGCTGAATCTATAAGGTGCCCATTGAGAAGTTGGCTATAAATATCAAAAATAATATTGGTATTATCGATTTGTAATATTTGAAAAATATCAAACAAAAAAAAAACAAGTTAGAATAAGTGAAGTTAATCGTTTCGAAAGTAGGTTGGTACTTCATCAACGAAATATGTATCGCCTCATAATTTTTCTTTCCCAATTTAAAATGAGCCTCTAAAAAAGCAAACAGCGTCTCCGACGCATCAAACAAAATTTCCGACCGCGAGCGCCACGACGCCCCGAAATTAGACACCGAAGGGGAAGTGTAATGTTTTATTCAAAACTAACTTACATCATTTGTAATGTACGTTGTTGGGGTTGTAAAAAGGCTCGAGCCCGAGCCTTAACTGGCTTCGCTCTTGTTCGATAGTTAAATCCATCGCAAAACGATTTTCGGGGGATTTTTCGCAGTGTGGGCGGCTTAATAGGCCTTCTTGTTTGATAATGTTTTGCATAACGATGGTATTTTACCCGGTTGTCGGGGATCTTGTGAAGGATTTTTAAAATCTGCTCGAAGCGACCAGGACGAAGGACACGACCTAATTGCCGCGCTTTAAACACACCTAATCCTGTTATTTTATCTTGTACAATTTTTATAGAATACGATTTAGAAAATTATTTAATCGTTCGACAACAATTCTTGCGTAGAGTTTGCCCTAATAAAGTCGATTCTGCGGAAACGTAAACAGACAAATCGGGATCGTATTCGAGCACCTATGGAAATTGTATTGGAAAAACTGCATTTCCAAAAATAACTTCGTTCATTTCCAGCGGAATGACGTCGACTTTCCAAGTTGTAGGTACGTGTTTTCCGAAAGCAAACGGTCGTGCGACGAATACAATTTCCTCGAAATCGATTCAATAAATTCTTTCAACAACGAAAGAAATGAAAGGACACTATCATTCAAAAACAGTAATAGTGTTCAAATGAAGCGTAAAACAGAAACAAATATTTTAATATACAGGGTGTCCTACAAATATCTACTTATATTAGCAGTGTTACCAACACACTTTTGACACCCACGACCAACTTCTCATCAAAACGATTAGCAGGATTCAAAATCGTTTACAACATTTCAATTTATCGCAACATTTCTGTTTATACTAATTTACTTCACCAAAAAGAAATGTTACAGAGTCGCAATATGAACAGTTTCTATTTATAGAAATGCATTCCGCCTTCGAGCGACGCTTTTAAATTCATTTACCGAGCTCTGTGCAAGTCGAATGGAGGAAAAAAGGAAGTCAGCCGGGATACGTTGCTTTTCCGCCGTTATCAAGATTAAAAGAATAGAAACGGTGGAAACGCTGACTGAATTCCCGAGTAATCTTGATATTAAACACGTACTTTGTTTCGTTTTAATCGTTTCAAAGCGAATATTCGATTTTAATTGAGGCGGAATTCGCCGCCGCTCGAGCGGAGCCTGAGCGTTTTTGATAAGATAATATAACTGAATAGGATGATTACTGTTTAATGTTTTCCGGATTATTTCGATAGCTCGGTACTTTACCGGGATCGCCATTTATACTAATGGAAACAACAAACATATACTCGATAATAAATAGAATATTTGTCAAACGTTAACGCTATTTTTACATACGCTCTTTTGACATTTGACGTATAAATACTTCAAAATAGCGTCCCGAAACGTTATACAAATAGCCCGTCAATCAAAGCACAAAACTCTTTCTATATACGCAAAACTTGAAATGAGGCGTGCACGAAGAGGAGACACTGCTACAGCAAAGTTTCAAATGAGTTTTCTATCAAAACAGCAGGAGTATAAATAAAATAACCTATCGCTAAATATTATTTATAGATACGACGGGATATTTGTCTTTATTTCGACTCGATAAATTTTTATCGGTACCGTAGATGGCGCTTGCATCCGCGTACACTCGACGTTCATAGTTGAACTTGCGGAAAGTTCCGAAAAAGTTTTCGAGTGTCTGAAAGGTTGGCTTTTATGTCGAAATTGATTTTCATCGAGTTGTTTGTCCTTTCTGGACGCAACTAGACATAAACATGTGCGGGGCGCAGTGAAAATAAACAAGCCTTTAAAAGTGCATATTATTAATATAGCACTTATGCGAATACACCTAATAGGAACATTCAGTGCAAATTGCATTCGTTTATAAACTCGATATAGCTGCGAAGAAACGGCATTAATTAATACTAAACGATGAAATGATTAAGTTACCGTGAGGCACGTAAGATTTACTTAAAACGACTACCCCATTGACGATAAATAAAATACAACCCTCTCTGGGAGCGGGTATAATCAACAACCGGTTGTTTATTCCACTGTTAGGTATTAAGCGTATTTATCATCGTGGAGTATGTTAATTAACGTGACTTGATCAGGATTAGCTTTTATGCCTGTTATGAATTTCATCTAAAATTAACCAGTTTACGCCGTGTAATCCACCGAAGAGGCGATTATTATGTAGATATAAATTTTACGATTTTATTAAAATATCCAAACACGTCACGGGTAATCCTATATACTGAATAACGTAGTTTGGAAACAAAGCTATGTGGAAATTTAGTGTAATTTAATATCTCATAAACAACTTTCACCTGTCAGGGTGGAAAAGACTGCAGGTTTAGTAGAATTGTAGTTAGTGTATGTGAATATTGTAAAAAAATTTTAATTAAATTTGGATGTATGCAGACGGAGTTTAATACATGGATTTTTATAAATGAATCCGATGAAAGAAATGGGATGTTTCCATTGATAATGAATCATAGAACAGAAAGAAGATGAATGTTGAAGTGAATCGTTTCACTAAATGGAAAATGTGTCCTGTATTTTGGCTAGAGTAAAGTGTCTATTTAAGATTGTTAATGATCCATTTCACTTATTTCTATTACCGATTGAATCTTTCCTCTGACCAAATAGAACTGACTGATGAGGATGGTCTGACGAAACTCACCCAAGGCCACTTACATTATAAGGTTATTTTTAAAGTGTGTGTGTACGTGTCTTTTAATCATGTAGTGTAGGTAGTGTTCTTGCATTGCATCAAAGTGTTGCTTTACCGTTTTATAGAACATACACGACTGCCGGTCCTCGTCTTCCGCCGACGGGCAGTCCACGAATCCGTCGCAAAGGACGTGGTCGTCGATGCAATGATATCTGCCCTGTCTGTCGGGCGTCGGGCAGGCGAATCTCTCCATGCCGTCGTCCGCCGGTGGGCATTCTGCAAAACAGAAACATCGAATGTAACAATTTTGTAAATTTCCAGGGAGCTTTACTTGACTTGTTGTGATTCTATTAACTTTGCTGTTAGAATACAACCGAGTTATAAAAGCAACGCTGAAAGTGTGTTTGGAATTAATTTCTGCGAGTAGATAAATAAAGCAACAAATGGGAGAAAACGTCGCGAATACAGAGCGTCGCGAGTTTTAGTAGGATACGATTCGAGTTATAGGGAGAGTTCCAAATTTATAAATTCTAAAAATTCCCCAAAAAAAGGAAATTTCCATCCACTTGGCAACAAAGCTTCACGCGCTTGTAAAAACGTAGAGCTTCTTTGGAGAAAAATCGAGGAAAGCTCAAAAACTTTGTTGATTAAAATAAAAACTGGTAGTTCAAACATTCCTTTCAAACCCACCTGAATAGCTCAACTGAACATTTTCCTTTACTATACAAAATTGAAGTCCCATATTAGAAAGATTGAACAAAAAAAAAACGCGCCCAACAAGGATTCTCATAATGCCGCTTTTGTTGGCAGTTTGCTCGCTTTCTTTTTACGCGAAAATATTGACTCGAGTACGTCGGTACGTAATTACGAGATGGGGTGGATAAAAAACAACAAAGTTCGATATATTACGCAGCGGTAGTAAGATATATTAATGCGAAATCTATATTACTTATAGAATTTTGTTTACCGAACCCCCGCAAATATTGCAGGTGATTAATAACTGTCGTTTCAATGATATTTCTCCGTGATGTCGGTCAGCACAAATATAGGTTTGCCCTGTGACTGTCATTCTTATTGCAAAATATTAAATACTATACCATTGTTATAATATTCCGATTATTTGGTCAATATATAGGGTGTTAATTAATTGAAATCCGATACTTCAGGATGAGAATATTTGGATGATTTTAAGAAGAACAGTTTTTGGTGTTATAGTTTTAGGGAAAAAATAACTTTTCAATTATAACAATTTTCTTATTACTATAGATATTTTTATGAAATTTTGAATATTTTTAATTATTAAGGAGCATTTTTGAGGCAAAAGATTTTTATTAATTTTTAGCAGTTTCGTCCGTACGGGAATGGAGCTGAATATGCTTGAAGAAAAAATGTTACGCCACTGCATTTATTTTGGAGCAAATTCAGTCCGAAGACTTACTTTCCTACGACGCACCATTTTCGCGTAAAAAATACTTTTTTTTGGGACAAAAATTAATTTTCTACTATTACCAGTGACGTCCACATCCGAAATTTCATAAAAATATCTGGAGTAATAAGAAAATATGATTATATGATTATAAGAAAAGTTATATTTTTTAAACTGCAACATCCTGTAACTAGAAACTAAGAAGTTTATAAGACATGTATTGATACAAACTTTTCTTTTTAAAATCATCCAAATATTCACATCCTGAAGTATCGGCACTCAATTAATTAACACCCTGTATTGCATAAAAGTATTTCCAGTTTTGTATCACCCAGTATTTGATGTACTGTAGCTGGTTGATGAAGGATTAGCATAATTCGATAAATTAAGCAACCTTCAGCGTTTGTTATTTTATAAACTTAGGTAAAATTCTCCGGAAACCGTTCTTTCCACCTTTATAATCCACCTGAAAAAACCAGCGAGCGAGGAAAGCAACAAGGCCCCGCGTAAATACGCAGCATAAATTCTCATTCAGGTGTCTACATCATCCGTTGTCCCTAATTAAATCCAACAATAAATCCCGAATCCATGCGTACCTGGGGTTCCCGCAAGTGTACGCGCGCCGAAAGAGCGGGTCCCCGGGCCCGTCCGAATTCCGTCGCAGTTGCGGGCGAGATCTAGGAGCGTCTGAGGGCCACAGTCAACAGAGATTTGTTACCCTAGTTGCTCCCTTCTAAATATAGAACGGTTTTGGGGCGGCGGAACGGGGAGCCCGGCGGAACAGCGGCCGAATTCGAAATGGCGTTAAAGAGAGAATGGAACGCCGGGGATCGTGACGCAAGAATTACGTGATGCACGACGAAAACACCAGTCCTCTGGAGAGGACGAAAATTTTCTGATCGATATTAGCCATTTGAATATTTCGCTGCGTTTCAAACGGTTTGGTTGGGTTAAAATTATCATAATTATCTTCCACTTCCATCTTCCAGCACTGGATATTTAGGAACACCCTGTATACGTGTTCGATTTTTTTTAGTTAACCATACCCAATCTGCTAGTACCTTGTAAACAATCACGTAACGATTTCCATTGGAAGGCGATGTAAATCTCTAGTGGATAGAAAGACAGAAAGTAAATAAGAAAGCTCTTAAGAATAACATTAATGAAAATCGGTTTTCTTTGTATCGAATAAAACGAGTTGAAGGAATAAAATTGTAGAATGTATGTATAAGTGTACTTGACAAGAAAAACTTTAGTATTAACGGAACATGGAGAGAAAATTGTTGTGGAAAAGCAGGGGTGTATCTCAAGAGTGTAATTTTCAATTTTGCAAACATAGATTCCCAAACATTACATTAGAAATTCGTCCAAAATTGGCTGAAAAAAATGTTTACTACTTTTGCTCGGGTAGCAAATAATGCTCTTCTAACATGTTTTTTTTTTCTGTATATCCGTATGAATTATTCTGTACATCCATAACGAATAAACTTAAACGAAAAACCACCCAATTTTCTTTGCTCGTCATTCTTCCTATGTGCTTAATACACTCGAGACCTTCTTTTTATACCCGACCTTTTTTTTGAAAGCAATTCTACTTCGTTAACGAATAGTTTCGTTTGCGGGTCAGTTCAAATTAGACGTCTCCCAAAAAAATTGAATCGACAGTAATTCATTATCCACGGCAACCATTGTACCAAGCAGCTTTAACATTGCGTACGAATCGTCTCGTCTGCAATTCACTATATTATAGTTTGTAGTGGTTAGTTTAGGACGCCTATCGACCGAATTCCAAGCAAATACATCGAGCATTATCCCCATCGAAATGGCCCTTGGAAAGGACCGTCTCTAAAAGGTTAAGCGACTCCCGAAGTTTCAATTACTTCCCGTCGCGATATTGTATTATTCTTACGGGATAGGCGGTCGTTTATTGTCTCGTCTAAAAGCTCAGAAATAGCTCGGAATTGTCTTATTTACCGACTATCTTCATACAAACTTGCTGTTTGTTCTATTATAAAGGTACTTATTGCTTGAAAACAACGAGAAAATGCAATTTACAAAATTAATCTCTCACTTTTTAGCGCTTCCGAATTAATGGAGCGAACTTAGTAGTTCTTTTACAACCCTTTCACTGTTTAGTATTTATGTGAGCACATCAACAATTAACTTAATATCTTCGTAAATAGTTTAAACAATTAGTTCAGTAATGAAATTTGCTTTTCACAGGCAATAGTTGTACTAATTGCACAACGCCCAAATGTTGGGTTGAATACAAGACGTCCTTAATTACGTTAAGCTAATCGAGATGAGCTGTTTAATTATCTCAGACTTTGGAGAATTCCTGGTTGCAGTGCATATTCAATTATGGAATGGTTGACAGTATTTCCTGATTAAAGTTTACAGGAGTTGATGCAGATACAAGCAAAGTATGACGGAATAGATTGGGAACTTGATTAAATATATCAATCGTTTATGAGCGTAACGGGAATAAATAAACTCGGAGTGAACAAAGTTCATTTCGAGAGCAAGGCGAAGTAATTTACGGGATTGAAATAACGGCACGAATTTAATGGATGTTGGTGGAAAAGAGAAACGGAAATGTTAAGAATGATTGCGTGGATGACTTTTAAATTAAACACCCCCAAAAAAATATTGATACAAAAAAATTGAGCTGGTACAAGTTGTACGATGTAACGTATGGAAATATTAAACCGCACGTGCAAAAGTTTTATGATCTTTGCATAAAAAAGCGAAGAAAAGAGAGATTTGCTCTCTTCGAATTCACTTCTCGCAACTTTTCTCTCGCCTAATATTCGACTAAATTATTCGCGCTATAATTTCCCGTCGACAAAACGTTATTTATCGAGCGATACTGGTAAAAAACAGCACAGCATCCACCTGTTGCGCTAAACAACTAGGTATATAAGCATCAGGAGGAACTATTCGTCTCAATTTAGCCGGAGAAGAATGCTGTAAAGGTGTCACCTCTCCATCGAACGGATATTTACACGACCCTATCCTATTCCCGAAGGGCCATACCAGTGCGTGATAAATATATAGGCCAATGGGAGGAGCCTCCTTGCACACGTGGCCATCAAGGATGCGAGGGGGAAGATGCTCCTTTGCGAAGGACTTTTACGTTACAGGTACAATAATTGCGGTTGTCATGAATTTTACCCCGCAGGTGTCTTTTAATCATGAAGGGCTTCTCAAAGGGGCCAGCTGTATTATTATTTATTGCAAGATTATTGTTAACTGTATTGAATGATTGATTCAGATGTAATATTGTAGGTGTAGCAATAAATGAGCTATTGCATTTACATATCCTTTGGTGTAATCACAATTTTATATAGGAGGATGTACAATATCCTGCTGCGTAAACTTGCATTTATCATTCTGTCGAAATTCGTTGGTTTCGTGAACAATTCCATTTTGAATGTACCCTGGATTAGTATAGGACTCGTGCAGTTTCGCGTTGTTAATCATCTACATTCGAGCCGAATATTTGCATGCAGCTTTGCATTAATGCGCTATTACGGTCGCGTTATCTAAAACTGCTTCCTCTATGAATTCGTTCCTGCGATAATCGATGGGATTTTTCTCGACGGTCGAAATCGATTTCGACTGACAGAGATTCCCAGCGCTAACTCTTCTGTAAATTCGATTTATTTCGGCGTCTTTTTTGCATATCTTCTAACATCCGTGCCTTCAATGCCCCTGCCCTTCGTCCAATTTGCGAAAGGGATAAGAGAATTTTTGATCGGAAGCGGCCCTTATCTCGGAGAACACTCCCGGTACGACTGCTTTTTTTCCTTACACCGGCTTATACCCTCATATAACCCTAAAAAATCTAATAAAGCCCATTACATACGTGACCACTTAATAAAATTTTCCCGAAAAAGAAAAAAGGAAAAGCGAATCCGGCTAATGCGGGACCGAAAAGGTCACGACCGATCGGATATGTAGGCACAATAACTTGTGCTTTGGATCGAATGCTGGCCCGGCCGTTACACAAAAAATTATCTTCTGTTTGTTAGCTTCTTTAGCAATCTCCATTCGTCCGGGAACTTTTATTTAAACAAACACAATTTATCTGATTGTTTGTCTAACAGATGTAATGGATCAAAAACATTCACTGCATGCTAAAATATATTTCAAAGTAATGAAATTTGTACTAAAGTTTTAATCAAATGTATTTAATCAAAGTTTCGCTCTTGTATAACAATTTAAATTACCTCTATTCGAATTAAAATGGTAAGTTATACCCACCAAAACGAACATCCGAACAGAACAAAATTACTGAATATTAAATTTCATTCGGATGGTCGAATATCGAGAGGAAGCCCCGCGAAATCTAAATTTAACATCTACATATAACACCAGTTAACGGCGGTTCGACAAAGTAAATTTGACTAGACGTTAGGAAAGTTTCCCACTTCGCACTAAAATCCTTTCAACGTTCGGAGCGCATAACCCTATCCGGGAATATTTACAGAGGCTTCTTCTTATTAAGCCGGAAGCTGAACTGTCTTGTGCAAAAAAAGCTCCGCTTTCGAGGCATAAAGCTTAAATACGTCTCTGTTTACCGCGACGCCGGCAGGAAAAAAGCCGGCAAAAACAAAATGTTAATGGCAGAAAACAGTGGCTGAACGATCGAATTTTCTTTAATAGTTTCTTTAACACCAGCCAATCGAACTCGCGGAGCAAACGATACCATGACTTTGGTGATAGGGAACATGGTAAGTAAAATATTGCGAAGTGAATTTAGCAGGTATATCGATTCCTCCGGAATACACTAATCAATTTGTTTAATTTAAATTCTCTTTGACAATTAATCAATCCTTCACACCTGAAAGATAAGTTGGGTAAAAAAACGAATTATGTAGATAAATGAAGCAAATTAATATGACTCATTCTTCTCTTCTCATAAATCTTTTGCATCAGGAATGATAATACATAATAGGGTAAATTTCGTCTTCCTTTTATGAATTTGTAGATCCGCCACTGGTGGAGACCGAAATCATCGCATAGTGTTAATAACTCAGAAAAGCTGGAGAAAAGCAACTAGAAGTCTTCTGTTCTGCTGTAAGTAAAATCGCTTTTATGTAAACAATAAAGAACACAGATAGTGTCTGGAAGGTTTGCATTCTTTTTGCCGTCGCTGCGGAGTAATTGAAAGGTAGCATTAATGAAGAATTATTTTTTCGCTTCCCCGGGATTTACGAGTTTTTGCATGTCGAATAGTTTGTTCACAAAGTTTGCAATTAAGGAGCGCTCGGCAGAAATTTCCAATTATTCATTAGGCTAAAGTATTTCGAAAGATCCGGCTCAAATTCGAAATCAAATCATTTCATTATTTATAATAAATTCGTTACATCGTTACGGCTGGTGAGAATACCTTCTGAAAGTTTTCCGAAACTCATCTTAAATTTATAATTGGTCGCGGTCTTGAAATAGTTGTTTTTTTTTGTAAGTCATGACTTTCTTTCGAGCTTGTATTACAATTCTGATTAAGAAATCAGAACTTTTCATTTTCTGCTCCATTAGGGCCGGAGTTTATTCTAAACTTTGTTTTTTCTATCCATTTTAAGTCTAATTATTTTATTAATTAAATTACCTTCAACCTAAAAAAAGGAAGCTCGTTAAATATGATTTGTTATAATGAAGGAGCCAATCGCTCAGTCTCAGTAAGTCATTGAGATTTGGAAATTTAGACTACCCTACATTACAAAAATCGTTATTTACTAATTACGAAATTCATTTTTAAGTATAATATGTGAAAAAATATTAAATGTGCTAGGTTAAACTCCACTATCTAAATGACATGAGGGCACAAATTACTATAGTTACTTGTAATGGTAAGTAGATATGGTAAGCAATTTTACAAGGACGCCATTTCAATCAAAGCACTATCAAGCCAAGGAAAGCTTTGTCTTAAGTTTAGGGCGAACTCACACGATAAAAAAACCTGTACTTTATTATGAGCTTATACTATTTAAGACAAGTTATAGCTAATGTGAGTTGGCTAAACTTATGTCTGTAGATGATGTGGGTAAGGTCATATTATAAATAATTGCTTACCATCTCCACTATATCCCCCAAATCCGAATTGTTGTGGTGTCATTATTTTATAGATATCTAAAAATAATATGAATATGTTACAAAATTAGTTCCAGGTTAATTATTTTACAAACTATAAAATACGCATTATTAACCGAAAATGTATAATAAAATTTCCCTAGTTTGTAAAAAAAATTTCCACTTAACAATAACAAGCCTCTCATCCTTCATCACACGGAAGTTTCCTTGCATAATGAAAAAGCTATTCGATGAATGTCGAAGTTCGGGAAACCGATTTACCCTTCGAAAGAATGAATAAAGTAAGATATCGTTAATAACGGATGATTTATGATGCGCTGATATAACTTTTGATCGAACACACACACACACTCGCTCAGCCGAACGATTTAAAGGCGGCATAATGCACGTTTTATAGACGCATTCGACTGTGCAAGGAGCGCTTCCACAATCCCAGGTATCGATAAAGTAGTTATTTCACAAATTGAACGGAAAAATAAACTTGTATCTGTTCGAATATGTAACCTAATCATTTTGCCGATATAGCGAATTTCCTTCAATTTTCCGGGAACTTACCGTGCAGTATGCACTCCGGTGGAATACCCATGTTAATTGCTTTATCCAACTATCTAGTTGCAAGACTTGCAAACTTCGAGTCATGAAGAATCATGTGTGGGCTCTAAAGCGTATAACTCAAAGGTGAGTAGGTAAATTTCAGTTCTCGTCTAGCCCTGAAACTGATTCGTCCATCTACAAAAATCTAGTCAAAATAAAGAATTTTGTATAGTTGAACTCAAAAGTTATTTTTTTTATTAGGCCATGAACCCTTATAACTTTCCAAGACAATTGTGCTACGGGATTTATGTTGTCGTTTCATGTGACCATTATAAATAAATCCCATGTCAAAAGTAAATCTTTGCGTTTACCGATAAATAAAGCTTTATTTCTATATTTTTCATGTTCCGCAATTCTTGCTTTGCCGCGAGATATTCACATTATGCACATTTTTAAAAGAAGCGTTGCCAATAATGGCGATATTATGCAAAAATATACGGCATTATTCGTGTGATGAGTGCGGAATATCCCGCATGACGGCGCAATCGATTTTTTAATAAAACCCCAACGGTAACAACAAAATAAGGGTGTTTCTGTAAACCCAAAATTTTGCGAGCCACAGCGTACAGTTATATGGTTTTGTAATTAATACTTTGTCGAGAAATTAAATCAGCAGAGTGAAATAGCATTTCCGGGAATGAATTGCTTACTTAAAATATCCGTTCCTCGAATTGCCAAAACAAGATTTCTCGTTATCGATACCTAAAGTTCCAAATAGTGCGCCCACTCGCACAAAATCGCGAAAACATAGGTGGAATCGGCCGGGCGGGGCGTCACTTTTCCCCATCGCCCGGCGAATTTCCAGCATAGGTAAGCAATCTTGGCGATAAGGAGTGTCACAGAAACTCTCCCATTAAAAACGGAGGCACGAAAGTGGAATTCGAACACGAAACACTGTTGCTTTTGGCTTGTATGACACGATATGCCGGCCCTTATCGAAATCCGAGCCGCGCACGCGATTTTTCGCTCCGAACCCCTCTATTGGAAATCGAGTCCGATAAAAATTTAAACGGACGTTATTGTTTTATTGGTGAAAAGTACATTATTAATGGGACGTGTTTCACGGAAGTCGATCGGTCTGAATGCCTTTTCTATTAATAGATTTCGCGTTTACTTTATCCTTATAAGTCCTTTACACGTTAAGGGGTGAATATATGAGACTGTTTAAATAATTTTTACGGTGTATTTTCATATTTAGTTCCTTGTATTTCTATTTATAGATGGCAAAATTGTAGCAATCGATTTAAAATAAAAAATAATCAATAAAGGATTAACAAAGGCTTAAAAGTTGCTGTAAAAATAGACTTTGTATAAATTTAAAAAGCTCTAGTAGAATTACAAAATGCATGAAATATCTCAATAGAACAATACACATACTACTAAATTCAATATTTAGCAGAAATAGGTAAATAAAGGTAATTGAAAACACCTCAATGTAATTATGAGAGGTTTAATTTATACGAAATTTAATTTTAAATGTGTTAAGAGCGACCCTGCCTTTCTAAAATAAACACAATCATATCAACTTGTTGAATACGGTCGTTGAAGGCACATTTACGAATTCGCATTCTGAAATAAGATCGCTGAAAAGTTAATGAGGTATGGGAAATTCAATGCCAAAGACCCATGAATTATCTATCCCCTGTTTTGTTTCATCGGGAATCTTTACTTTCGTTTGATTTTCCAGAAGTTCTCTACCTATATACTGTTTGTTTGAGTTATACAAACAAATTGTTAATGGAATTGTTGCATATGAAAGTTGCGCTTGTTTTATATGAATTATTCGAGGACTAAAGGTTTTCTTTCGTAACTAATAGTCGTGAATGAGGAATTTTTATTTCGGGTTTTCGTGGCTCTGATGACGCGCGAACATTGTACACAAATCAGTTTTATCGAAGCGATTAAATCGAATGAACGCGCGATTAACGAAAATAATTTGATATTTTCCGACACCTATTTCGGGTTTTCTTCGAGATCGATATTTCTGTATTAATTTCCGATTCAATTCCGAAAATAGATTTTGTCGCCTTTTCAATAACGAGATTATCTCGTTTATCTCGTTCGCGGGTTTTTCCACTGAGAAATTTTAACGAGAATTTTTCGAAAAATGTCTATTTTATTGTTGTTTGAGAAGAAGCGCAATATATTAAAAATGTTATCATAAAAAACAAATAGCAAAGCATACATATTTAGTTGAATATACTATTCGGTGCTTCTACCTATGTGTGTACAAATATTTCTAGCAAGATTATCGACCCGAGTATCAAAAAGGAATTATTGATTTTGGTCAGTTATTATGAAATGCTATTGTTATCTCGTTTTCTTTTTCGTTTATTCCTTCTTTAGTCCCCAATAAAATAAGGTTTAGGTCCTTCTGAATCTCTCTACTATTTAAATTTACATATAGGATTTCCATAAGATAAATTATGAACATTTATTTTGTTAATTTATTATAATTATACGAACCATCAAAATTATGTGTTTAAATAAAAAATCATCATTGTTGTATGGATTAGTTGAAAAGAACAATTCAAATACTCAAGAATTTATACTATATTTGGAAACACTGAAAAATTATAAATAACTCTACCCCATCGGTTTTTTTATTAGACGTTTCTGGTTTGCAGTCGGGGTTGATAAAATATTAAAATGAATGTTGAACTCTCAAGGTTTTATCGGGGCGATAAAAATAAAATCCCACATTTAAGTTCTGCGTTCGATTTAGCACTTTATCAGCTATTTACAAAAAGTCCGCGGGGAATCAATTTTTTGTTGACGCCATTTGCTAGTTGTGTTTTCTAGTTTTACACTGAAGGGAAAAATGGCTTTCAATTATTCATATTTGCCTGCAGAAAACTCATGTAGTATGGAAAAGAAGACCTAAAAAGGACGTTCATAAAATAGAATAAAATTGCATTCGTACTTTGCGATAGGTACATGTTGTCTGTGTAGGCTTCACCTACGTTGATAGATATGTAAAATTATATGCAGGTCTGGACTTAAAATTGTGGAAATTACACTTAGTTTATAGTATAAGGATTAAAAGAAAGAGCTGAGACCGAGGCTTACCTGTGATTTATTTTTAAGAAAATTGACAATTTTTAGGATAAACTTAATAACAAGAATCTTGCTTAATCCGACCCTGAAATAATAGTACTTTGGTATAAATTGAATAAAGCAGTCTACAAGGCACACTAGAGAGCTGTCTTTTGTTACCATTTTATATCTTTCGAACTGTCTCTCTCAATATTTTCCTGACTACGTGACTATAGAATTATTTTTCACATTTACCTATGCTTGTATACCAAATAAATTCAAATATTTTTTAATTCGTATTTAATTTTTCCAGCTGCCCACAAAAACCTTCACCAGGATCCCAGCATACGATACAAGAGGGTGTAAATACACGAAAATCACGGGGTATTGTGCGCTCGGGTTTTTATTAGCCCAGCGACCGTAAAATAAAATCGCTAATGAATCCCGGCGTTTTTTATGTATTGATAATTTAATCGCCGATGACGGCGCAAACTGTCCTCGATGACGAATGATTTCCACGAGTGTCGAATCGAATCATGCGGATTCCACTTAAGCTAATTAGTTTCACTCTGTTAAAGAACTCTGTTTGTTATCCGGGCGCGAAATCGCCGGAAAGTGATTCCACTCGGAAAATAAATAAATTTTAAATAATTACGCCGGGCAAAAAATTTCCCTTGCAAATATTGCCCGTTTGTGAACGCGCCAATTGAATCGGAGAAGCAATTTGTTTCGAAACAGTTTTTTTTTCTGTTAATTAATTACCGTGACTAATGTAGCAGCAATCGATGTAAAATGATAAAAGTTAAAGACGGGGTGAAATTAATTAAAACGCGATTGGATTCGGTAAATACAAACGCGAAAATAATTATTTAACATCGGCTCTTGTTACCTATTGAAGAAACTGAAATTTGTTCCGTAAATCTCTCTGGAAATTCTTTTTTGTATGGGTATTATTCAAACTCGATCTGAAGCGATCTTATTAAGCGAAATTACGTGCGTTTATCCCCATTTCAGATTTCAGGATTTGCTCTAGGGACTCGTGAATGATTAAAGATTCACTGTTTATTGAGTTTGTTCAATGTTTTTAATCCTTAAAATTATGTTATTCATAATAAATAAGGATGTTTTAATTGTTTTTCTCCTAGTTTTTAAAGTCACAGGTGATTTACAGGTTACAAATTACTCGTCAATTAGGAGATAAGAAAACCGGTAGAAATGAGAAGTTTCAAGTTGCGGATATCGGTTCGTGGGTTATATTAACCTTGAGGTTGGGGCGACGAAATTGCCTCCCGTCAAGCCCGGATCCGCAGGAATCGTATCTGGACGTCATTAGCAGGACATTCTGACAGTTGATTAAACTCTAATAGGCGATTTGGTATCGACTAACGACTAACAATTTACCGAGTGTCAGGACATATTGTGGACGACTGTATTTCCTTTACCTAATGTCCTTTCCACCTCTTGGCAATTTCCAATTTCTGCAAATTTTGCTTACAAGGATCGTGTAAAATTACACTAGAATATTAAAATATTGGCGATTGTTTAGTGAGTGAATACACCATTTTTTCGAATGATACAAATCAATATGATAAATTTACATAGCATAGTAAAAAATTATCAATAATGAAGATAACATTTACATTTTTTCATGAGTTATCAAGTGACTGAATAAAAATGATGCCTGACAAATCAAGCTAATAATAACTCAAAGTCACAACGAACATCAACGATTAGAAAGAATTTTCAGCTAAAATAAATGGGACATCATCCACAATTCGGAAATCTTTATTATTTAAGGAACATAATTAGCTACAGACTATCGCCGTACCATTTAAAATCATATCCCGCGCTCAATGTAAAAAAAATCATTCGAAGAATACGGGAGCAAATTCCTTATATAGGGCCACGTAAGTCTATTTAATTGAAGAATTAAATAATAACGAAGAAAAATGCTTTGAAATAAAATATAATTTGATTTTTTTATTACTAACTATTCTGTAAGAGTCTATTTCTTTTAGCTTTTGCAACTTTGCTTTCCTTGATGTATATTCTACCACAAGTGCATGACAAATTACAAAGGAAAGTGCCGGGACAATTCGACAATGAAGAAATACCAGCTGATGAATGCAAGAAGGAGGAGAAAACGGAGGAAGTGAAGAAAGAAGAGGAGAAACCAGAAGAGTGCCCTCAAGAAGAGGAGAAATCAGAAGAGTGCCCTCAAGAAGAGGAGCAAGAAAAAGAAGAATGTGACTAATATTATATTAGACTGGCGTATTATACATAATATATTTTTATTTAAATAAGATTGTTTTTTATAAGAAATTCGCATAAGTAGTAAATTTTATTTTCAGCAGTTTCCTATTTTTTTTTCTTGATTGAAGAATACAAGAGTTTTTTTAATCTAGGGACGAAAATAAACAGACTCAAACTTGTGATGTTTCGATCGAAAAATAAAAAAATATAAGATATTAACGCTTTTTTCGCGTCGCTCGTAAAACTATAGTTTTCCATGAATGAGCTACAGTCATTGTTGAAGGTAATCGATTGATGCCACAGCCTGTTTCTATTTTTAGCTCGACTATGAAGCGAACAAAAAAAGTAAATTCCCTAGAAATAAACTAAGTCCCGAGAGAATCTCAACGACTCGAGATTTTACGTCATTTTTTTGTTTTCTGCAAATTGAGTTTGTATTGTCTTCCACCTGAGTGGCTTGAAATTTACACCGGCACGAATAAACATTGCGCCGCCTCCATTTCGCCCGCCATTATTCCAAAAATGCATTTAAACGATATTTAAAATTGATGCGGCTGATTTGCATAAATATCGCGCGATGATTTGTTGAACGAAATGCCGTAGGGTTGCATTTTCGCCAATTCGCGTAGGCTGCGTTAATAGACAAACACGCAGTAAATTTGAAAGTAATTGCGATTTCGAACAAACTGTCGATTTGCAGTTTTCCAATGGCGAAAAATTGTAATTGCATTGTGTAAATTTGAATAATTTTCGTTAAACAAGTACAGCAGTGTTTGCAAAAGCAAATTATTTAAGATACTTGTGAAAACTTCACTAATTGGTTCATTGCAACAAAGCAGAGATATTACTGAAACTAACAGCCCCTATTATTATTTTGGTCGCTAATTAGTTGTCAACTTATACAGCAATAATAATTTAGTTTGCAAAAAAAGTTTAGATAATAATTGGTAAAAAATGAAGTATACAGCCATGCTTGCTTTACCGAACCCCGAGGGAAATCAGCGGAAAAGTTGGAAGTTACAATCACGCGAAGTTATTCATTAAATACGGAACGGTTTACTTTAAATCCCCTGCAAAATTGTTTAAAAATGCATTCCATTGTCGATTAATTTTGCCTTTATTTTCAAGCGTAGAGGGAGGCAAACAAATCCCTAGCAGAGCTAAACAAATCGAGTTAAAAAAAATAACTTTTTTATAACATATAAAAATCGCTCATAATCACCGCGGCGCATGCCACAGTTGAATTTATTCGAGTGCGATTTAGATTTAGATCCGGTCAAATTTGGGAAAACGAATGTAGTTTCCTGTATCTAAAAATAGCCGGCTACCTTTTTATCGATTTGAATTCATTGAGTTTTGGGCGCCTCATTCACTAAATTGGTTTTTATTATTCATAAAATTCCAACACAGAAGGAGGCAGTATAGTCAATCGAAGCTGTTAAGTTCATGAATTATTATCTACACGCAAATTACATTTTGGTTACTGTGTTTTGCAACATATGGTCGAATACGCAATTTCCTCTATTACCTAATAAATAATTACAACTAATGGATTTCTAATTAATTACTTGAGTCGAATATTACATATTTTTTGTTGAAGTTTCAATGCACAATACTACTCAATACACAATTTAAGAGTTTCTCAAAGTTTCTGATAACCCGAATTACCCGCCACTTAATACCCTTAAAGTAGATCAATCGTGGAACTTTCAGCTTGAGGAAACTATTCATTGCCCCAGCGCCTCGTTTCGAAATTATGTTACATACAATCGAGAATATACGCGCTTAAAAAACTTTTATTAAAAAGTTCCCGAACGAAACGGGGGTAAGTGGCACAATTTCTGGCCGTATTTTTTTGTTTACCGAGACAAATTGTGCGAACTCGCGTACGAATTATCGATTGCTCTGTGACGGGAACGCTTCATTTTTATAATTTCGTCTAACAAATAAACAAGAAGGTAAACAAAATTTGATTGCATTCGAATGGGTAAACAATACGCATGCAAACACCGGCTCCTGTTAGGGGTTATTCCTGTTGCACCCGTTCTAATAATAGTATAAATTGATGATTTGATGAACTGTAAAATATGGCTGAATGACCACCTAGTCAGGGATATAATTTTTGAGGGCTGACTAATTTGTTATTACAATTTATTATTAAAACAACCAATTAAATGATAGATACATATGAAAAAGTACATGTTAATTAACAGGCAAATAAACGCTACATTTGCATTTGCAAGGGCGTTAAATTCCTCGACAAGAAAATCCCCCGAAGCAATTATTCCGAAGCGCGGATCCGCCCGAAAGTGTCTTATATCAATAAAGACGCCCGGGGCGGCGGGTCGAGAGTGCCGACAAAATTCGACATAATCGAATCAGATTCGAAAAAATTGAAAAATCGAATTACCCTGCACTTAATAAATTTCAGTCGGAAGAAATCCCGGGAGGCCGTCTCCATTTTAAAGATACGCTAAGAACGAGACGTGAGCGCCGCGACGCCCGACGCCGCGCTCTGAACCGGGCATTTAATGTCGGGATGATAAAATCAAGCGCAATCCTCTATACGACATTGAATTATCCACGATTCGAGTATCTGCGAAAAAATCGGAATAAATTTAAATACCCACTTACTACATTGTACTATACTAAAAATGGTTGGGCATCATTAAATTTTCTTTTTATAGATAGATATAAAAACTTTGGGCGCTTCAAAGCTTCATATTCCCTTCAAAGAATACCCTCGAATAATTAAAGAATAAACTTTTTGAACGGTGCTAAAGTGATGCAGGGTGTTTGTGGGCCGCCCATGACCAGTGGCGCCCGTTAGGTCGGCCGTTTCGGCCCACGCTCGATCAATACCCAGTATCAACGCGCATCTTACGATGCTGATGTTGATGCTGATGTTCGCCCGATTTCCACAACTTTCTCGCAGCATGCACGCCGGCGAAACTCGCTCCGTTCACTTTACACGACATCCCCGTTCCCATTCATAAAGCCGGATAGGCCGGTCGGATTCGAAACCTATTAATATCGCTGATGAGGTTTTTTAAGTGACGCGCCGGGAAAATTCGTGTGGTGTATTTTATTTGGCGACAAGAAACAATATGAATGTAGGTGATGTAATAAATCCCCGCGTCGTAGTATAGAGCTTTTTTCGGAATAAATTCTCCCGCAAAGTTGCGGCTTTATTAGATTCCATTTCATTATGAGAAAAAATGAGGGTTACAAAGACGGAAATTAAGCGCACGCATTTAACTGAAAGGAAAACATAAGCCGAATTATGTTTTTTTGATTAAAAAACCCGCAATAAAAGGTCAGCTTTCCGCGTTAATTTCAGGGAATTGCGGCGGGACATTTGACGAGGAAACAAGGTCTTCGTAATGGACCTAATAATTAAAAATATATATTTTAATTAATTAATTTCGCAAACGGAAGTTAAACAATGAAAATTGCTGTATTTTTTATTTTGTAATTATGCAAGGGATATTTTTAGAAATTACATCAAATAAACAACTCTCCCACATTTTCTCTTATAATCCGTACAAATTGTTATCATAATTCATTTTAATAGAAAAATCAAATATTCAACAAAATCAAACATTAACAATCTTTTTGGAATGAAAATTCCTCTTCAATTTTCCTAATTTTATGTCGAGAACAGTCTATTTTTTGATGCTTTTATCGCAAGAGAAATATTCTTTCATTTTTCTTGCTCTAAACGGCTGTTAAATGACCCATATAATTCACGATTTAGTTATGCTCTAGTTCCGATAATTTCCCATTATTTTCTATTTTAGATAAAATGAGTTCGCTTCGACCTTAAATTTCAAAAACGGGGCATACGATATAAAATATGAAAATAACTACCGAATATATGTTCAAGAACACTTTGTGACTACACAAAATTAATGTTGAAGAGCTATATGATAAAATTAGGTTTTAATAGTATTTTAGAAGAAAATATATTCTAATAACCTGCCATTTTCAAAAAATACACAGCGAGTTAATGATGCATCCAGCATATCAAAATATAGGATAGTATACTAAAAATAGAAAAACTAACAATCAAACGACCCGCCCTAAAGAAATAAATATTTAACTACACTAGCCATTCATGTAATCGAGATTCTCCCAGTTCCCAAATTAACCAGAACCGACGTATCAACTCTAAAATAGAGCTCCATTTAGCATTTCCAATTCACCTATTTACCAACATCGGAGATAAAACGCGACTTTGATCTTATTTCAAACCCCACCGCACGAACCGCAAAAATGACCAAGATTTATAATTTTGTTGTTGCACCAACTTTCCGAATTTATTCGAAGAGTTAAGAATTCGGCAAACTAAATACTACGTAAACTACGTCGCCGCAATCAAATCGTGCCATCAAATCCAACAAGAACTACAAACGAAAAATGCACGGATTTTCCGTCTTTCCATTTTCCATTCCACAACTACAATCTACTCTAGATATGTCAGTAATATCACGAGCTTGCGAAGCGAGGGAAACTGTACCAAGATTGGAAAAAGAGATAAAATTTCTGAATAATTCAAATAGTAAATGTAGGTCCGTGGATGCTCTAAAAAAGAGCTAAATGGCCTGTGAAAAAGCTGCATCAAAAGCGGCAACGCATCGCAACGGCGAGAGATCAAGGCCAGCCAAGAATCCTATAGTGATCATACGGGAAAGAGCTGCAGGTCAAGGATTTAGTTCATTTTATTCCGTTCCATTGTTCTGGCGACTAGCCACATGTACTCGTGTTTTACCCTGAGGCCGAAGCAAGAGTGAAAATTACACAAACGGACTGTTAGAAAACCGTATGCGAATTTTACAGGATTTTCAGGAGGCAGGAGAGCGCTAAACAAATACAATAATTCGTTCAGAAATGATAAATTCAAAGGTTAAATGGCAGTTCTAAAGCAATAAAAATTGATCAAATCGCTTTCAATTTTGAGGATGCTCTTTTGGGATAAGCAGTGGGTTTATATCCGCGTATGCGCTAAATTAAAAACAGTAATCCCGAAATAAGTTTCCGTTATGCTACAATTTACTCGCTTCA